TTATTAGTGTAAATAGATAATCAAATGTTGATGCGAGTGCTCTGATTTAAGCCAAATTCCAAGTGTAAAAAAGATAATTGGATGTCGAACAAAATTAGTTGAAGTTGGCCTTGAATCTATAACTCAATGGTTTCTCAACTATCCCCGTCGATGAACATCTACTAATTCAATCATTAACTTGACCCTTTTATTATCTAGTACATTATGCCTAATCTTAACGTCATTCACTCTTTGCGAACAGTGTTTTGAATAAATCTAGGACTAAGTATTTTCAGGAGTAGGTAGTAAAAAGTTTAAGGAATGAGTTCGCGGAATAAAAGTTTTAAGATAAGTTCGAAACTTGGGTTCTAAGAGAAGATCAAGAGTGAATGTATTTGCCTTTCAGGAAACTGTTTTAAACTACGTCACTCAACATCTCCAAATATCGATTACAATAATCGCTCAGACCCCAACTAAGTAGTCTGCACTCAATAATATAGCTCAGACCAACAGTCAATAACTTTATACGGTGATACCACATTTTTGTTTGATCGCTATTATCTTTCTCTGAACATACTCTTACACCAGCCGATATCATGCATCGAGATAGAGGCAATGTCTGGACCTTTAAAATATATATTACTAAGTATAACACATCACTAATAAAATAATTAATTTATATTACACATTCTCAATAATAATAATAACAATAATAATAATAATAATAATAATAATAACGCTGGCAAATGAAATTGTTGAAGTGGATGAATATTTCATGATATAATCAGAATAACAACATTTCCTTACGTGACAATCCCTTAAATTTTTCGCGATCCCTTCGTTGGATGCTGGATCAGTGGTCTAGTGGCTAAGCATTCGCGTGCGAGACCGATGGGTTCTGGGTTCGAATCTCGCAAGGCGGGATCGTTGATGCGCACTGTTGTGGAGTCCCACAATAGGACAAAACAGCAGTCCAGTGCTCCTAGGTTTTCTATAGTGGTCTAGCTTCAATTGACTTATGATCTTAACTATTAAAAAAATTATTTGTTTAATGTGTTTATTTTGTAAAACACTCATTAAAATTAACTGATTCTAAATAAACTTTTTTTTTCATCAGTTGCTCATATGAATGATGATCGAGACAAAGAAAAAATTGAACAAAGCACAAATTTTAAAATGAAATTAGTATCGTTATACAAACAACAAACAGTTGTACATTATTAAGCACAATCACATCCATACATACATACACAAATAGAATACCTAAACCTTCAGTTCAATCAATATTACTTTACACAAACTGAACAAATCACATATATGATAAAATGTTGGCTTGTTTCGATGACTACTATCATCATCGAGATTAATAATTTAACATTCCTACTGTATTTTTGATGTGTTTTTTTAAAGAAAGAAAAATATATATATATATATAAACATAGCAACAAATTTACAAATGTATTAATAAATAAAACAAACATATTTTCACATTTAAAAAAAAAGTATTATGATTCAATTGAAATTCAGAATAAAAAAATAAAATGAAATAGTTTGAGTGTTATTATTGTTGTTTAATTCGGTGGAAATGTATATTGTTTAAATGAGAGTATTTCATAAATTAAGAATATTTAAAAATACAAATAGGTTAGAGGTTTCATTTGGAGATGGAATTCCAAAAAAACATAGGGGATTAGAGTAAGTTTGGCAATTTCATTATTTTATTTGAACACATAAATACTTGTACAAGAGGGCACCAAATACATATGAGCCACACAGATCTCATTTGATGTGTGAGGGTTGTGATACTGCACGGGTACCCAAACCGAAGCAGGCGGTTTTCTTAGGGAGCCACACCCGGAGCCTTCGACCTACAGGTCTGATCCACAAGGCAATGGGGGCATCCTAAGGAGTTGCAGTCCCATGGTAGTCGGTGACCAACGATTGGTTCATACGCCATTTGTTCCCTCAGGGTACTGGAGCCCATGTGCACCATTGTTTTGGAATCAGGGTTTTCCAACTCCCCTAGATGGATTCTCTATATCCACCAACCCGGTTAAAGCGCCAGACATTCGCCTTTCGTCCTCTCAATTTCGTAAACAACACCGCCGCCACGAGAAGGTAGTGAGTAGGACTTTCCTGACAGAGGCTATATGCGCGTGGCCATGTGAGAGCATTTGGAGAGGGAGAGTTGACTCTCCCCATTTTCGGCCGTACCAGGGCATTTGGGGGCCATAGCTATATAATATACCCTTGTGGGCCAGGGTAATTTTACATTGGTTTTCAGGAGAACCAGATACTATCCAAACTTTCACGTGACAACCCAAACAGTATAGCTCAATCCCGTTTAACAGGAGAACCAGACACCGTATAGGTTTTAACGCCACAATCTGAATAGTACAGCTCAATCCTGTGGCGCAATCACACAGGTACCAAGCACCCTGGTGGACAATAATTAGTAAATGAGGTCTGGAAACAGTTAAGATAGATCATGTGATAATTATAGAGGTTGTAAAAGATTTACGTAAGATTACTGGAATTAGAAATTGATAAGATGGGTAATAATTGAATAGGATTTGAAGAGTTTACATAAGTTAAGAGAATTAAGTGAATGAAAACCTATGGATGAAGGGATGATATTGGTGGACATGAAATAAAAATTAGCTTAGGGAAGACCTCATAACAATATAAATATTAATAAAATAATCATGATAACAAAAAAATGATTTACCAAGGTAGTGATAAGTTTATTATTGTCTCTTTCTGGGTACATAAATCAGTTTTCTTTGATACTGAGTCGGCAAACTGGAGAGACGCTGCGTATTTTTGTCTGCTGATAATTTTGAGGGGTTGTGGAATGTCAATGGTATGCCTGGTATCAATTAAATGCCGAGCTATTGTACTGTTTAGAGCCGTTGTGCCTCTTAGTCTCAAATTCTTTGGAAATTTGTTCGAAATATGAACACGTACTCTTCTCCCTGTTCTTCCAGTACATGTGCTTTGACACATACATTTAAATCAGTATATGCATTTGGAGGTACTGAGAAAATAGAACCTGTCAATTTTTTTTAGCGAGCAGTTCGTTTCGTAGAACGTGTTTTGCTGATGGATAAGCAACCTTAATTACGGCATTTATCCTGCGGTTAGTTATTCCAGTGATTTCATCTCCTTTGAAAATCAGATATAAGAAGCAGGTTCTCTTTTCTACTGTGTCGTACATAACACACGTTGGTTTTGAAATACTTAGTGAATTTCTCTGGATATGCATTTTCACGTAGATAAGCACTTCTTCCAGGCATTACTTTGAGCAAAGTTTATGAGGGCGGTCAAAAAAAGGCTAATACAATCCCATTTTTGTGACTCATACAGAAGCTGTAGTAATTTAGGTGAACTCCACTCCATGTACTTTTGCGATGGATATATCTCTGTAGTGTGCCCTTTGAATTCAATGGGATATACCTCCTACTTCATGTCCCATAGTAAGATCTATATCATTATACTTTTTGTTGAAAAGATTGAATAGGTACATAGAATGCTTAGGATTGTTACAGACAAGAAATGTGTCACCAACATATCTACAAGTGTGATTCCTTCGATTGCGTGCATCTGTTCCAGGTTCCCCATAAATATATCAGCCAGAATTGGACCCAGGAAATTACCCATGGCTACTCCATCAATTTGGCGGTACAGCAGTTTTAGATTGAAATTGTATATTTTCGGTGCACATGAACAGAAGCTGTTTGAATTCATTGATTGGTAAAGGAGGGAGTTCAGGATATTCACATAATATTGGCAATTTCTTCCAAAAGAATTCTTGTGAAGATAAATGAGACATTGAACGACACCAATAAATTTATCGGAAGCATTTAGGCCATTAAGGTTTTGTGCAAATTCGAAACCAAATTGTAGGGAGAAAGTTTGTTGATGATTGGTTTCAAACACCTCGTCAGCCAGCGAGTGAGATTACAGAAAGGTGACTTAGTTAATAGACTTAACATTGTCAAATTCTAGCACACGTATAGAGTACATAATATAAAATAACCTGTCAGTTATTTTTCGAACCGCGGATCTGCAGTTAACCATGAAAAGACTAGGATTTCTAGATAAACGAGTCTGTGGCATGTTTAAACTTAATTGTTTATTTACGAAAAAACGTTCACTTGGCAGTAAGTAGTGAACTCAGTAATTGAGAAGCTAAAACTTTGCATATTATTGCAATCCTTAAGGTTTCTTTTCACATTAAATCATTTCTGCGCGCAAAGTTCAGTCTGCCGACTATAGACATTTTTAACAGTGTAGCTTAGCTTACTTGAAGAAATTGCAATTTTACAGTATATATTTCAGAAATTATTCCATATGTAGTTACAAATAACTAGAAAATTATTTTGATTGGTGGGGGAATCGACTAAATTATGACTATCATAAAAGTCGGATGATATCTAACAGCGCGATCCACACTGAGCATTTCGACCCACTAAAGACTCATCAACTAGATGTGCCTGCATCCCAAATACTCTCAAACTTTTATGATAAAAGTCAACATTTATTATAGTTTTCTCAGTTTTTTCTCTCATACAGATAATAACACTTTCAAAATGAGTATGATTAACAAACACCTAAGTATGTAAGACATCAGTAAGTAAATATATGCATGTATTATCTAGAATTAATAGGCGGAAGAAACACCGAAAAACAAGGCAGAAAAGTCTAGAATATACATGGAATCCTGAAAAAGCCCTGAATTCATAAAAGACAATAATAGCAATGATAAACAATAATATCGATAATGATATGTTGGTTACATTCGTTTCAGTAACAAAAAAAATTCTAAGAAAAACCTAACAGGCTGTAAAAAAAAATTACCACATAAGAATATATGTATCTATATACGTACAGTTGAAGTAATAATATATGGTGCAATATGACATAGTGAAAGAAAAAGACAAAATATATTCACAGCTATTTTGAAACTGATATGACTTGTGCTGTTATTTTTTCTTGCTGTAAGTAAAAACAAATTCCAATTAAATAGGAATTGTTGATTGAAGTCGATAATATGTTCGACGATTTTGACGACGACTTGAATTAACGACAATCCATATTGACATTAACATGGCCAGTAGATCGGATGTGATAAGCATAGCAAATACGACAGACCAACCATATGGAACTAGTAAACCGGTCAGAAGTGGACCTAACGCAGCACCTGTAATGCATAAATAAACATCACAAATAAAGCTGTCCCTTATCGATAAAAAATATTTTTAAGAAAATAAATAATTGGATCCTGATTTTGTCTTTGGTACACTTTAACCTGGTGCATCACTAAACAAAATCGATAATGATTGGACAGTTCTGTAAATAAAAACATAACAAAGATAATACCATACATTGGACAGAATCATTCATCAAAGGAAATCGTGAGTTTTTAAAGGGAAATATACCTTAACCGTTGGATATTTTAAGAAAGAAACTGCACAAATATTTGTATAAAATGCATTGCTTCACATAGTAACATTAAAACTGTCTATTGTACTGCAGAAAGTCACATAGATACAAGGAGGCACCAAATACATATGCGCCACACAGATCTCATTTGATGTGTGAGGGTTGTGATACTGCACGGGTACCCAAACCGAAGCAGGCGGTTTTCTTAGGGAGCCACACCCGGAGCCTTCGACCTACAGGTCTGATCCACAAGGCAATGGGGGCATCCTAAGGAGTTGCAGTCCCATGGTAGTCGGTGACCAACGATTGGTTCATACGCCATTTGTTCCCTCAGGGTACTGGAGCCCATGTGCACCATTGTTTTGGAATCAGGGTTTTCCAACTCCCCTAGATGGATTCTCTATATCCACCAACCCGGTTAAAGCGCCAGACATTCGCCTTTCGTCCTCTCAATTTCGTAAACAACACCGCCGCCACGAGAAGGTAGTGAGTAGGACTTTCCTGACAGAGGCTATATGCGCGTGGCCATGTGAGAGCATTTGGAGAGGGAGAGTTGACTCTCCCCATTTTCGGCCGTACCAGGGTATTTGGGGACAAGACTGTGTAGCAGTAAATGATAATTAAGATGAAACATTGAAATTTTAAATATTTTGGAACTCCCAACAATTTTTTTATTAATTCTCATATTTTAATAATTATATTTTCGATACCAAAAATTGAACAAACATACTACAATTTACAAAGTATTGATGCGTAATTCTCAGTAATCGTTTCTTATGTTACGACGACATTCCTTAAAACAAACTTCTCTTAATATCTATGGAATAAATGTTCCGTGTACACTTCTTTAGTTTTAGAACTTAAAAATTTACCCGCGATGTCATATAATGACGAGCTAAACAAAAGTATTTGAAAAAGTGATAGAAACAGCTTCTTAAGCTTCAGGAGAATCAAATCAATGTGTTGATATTATCAACTGATTGATTGATTTGCAAAATATGATGTGACAATTTGGTTGGTTTGAAGAAATATTGGAACGATCAAGTGGGGGAATTAGGAACTTGCTCACAGGATGCATAACAGAACCATAGACCAAATTGTGTTTAAAAAAAACAGAAATATTAGCCAATAAATTGAGTATATGATTAAATAATAAACAGTTTAAACTATTCATATTAATTTAAAAGTATCCAATAAACTATGAAATATTTAATTCGATAAAATGATTTATAAAGGATTTATACACTGAAGTGCAACAGAAGCAATGGCGTTGATCAATATATGAAGTGTCTGGTACTTTCAACTTACCCAATGATCCCATTCCATCAATAATAGATGTAATTGTAGCCAAAGCACGAGTTCGTCCTAGCAAGGCCGACTGAGTACCTAAGTCGGCAGATACAGCAGTTGTAACTAATGCATAAGGTCCGTTGATTGCAGAACCGCAACATGTAAGTAAAACTATAAACAAGATACCAAGAGTACGCTATCAGATAGAAAGACAAACGAACACAACGTAAGATTTGTGATAATTGTTTACCAAATCAAGTTACCTTTAACCACGGACAGTAAAATAAAAAGAAAGATTCATTAAGACGAGTGGTGCTATCAAAATAAGATGAAGAATTATACGCAAGAGAAGAGATTAATCTCCCAAGGCAGTTGATTTTTCAAAGACATTTAGTTATTTCAGTCTTAATGTGAAGTAGTCCAAACCAACAGAGGTCAACCACCTCACTAGAACTGAAGCATTTGCTTAGGAAAATGAAGTCTTTAACAACTTTGCTTCAGATTGATACACTGGTGTTGGATAAAAAAAGTTGACCAGGACATTTTATCAAAATTACCAATGATTTAAAAGAAACTGTGCTACACTACCACATAAAATTTCAGAATATTTGGAGAGTCCAGAAAATGGTTGGCTTGATATGGATGGAGGTGCAAAGTGTAGTTAGTTTACCATAAATATGAGGCTGGTAAGTACCCCTACAAGGAGTGTGTTATTCATGTTTGTAGGAGAAAGTTGACCCTATCTGCATGAAAAGAAACTGGTAGTATTAAGTAGTGCTAATTGTTATAACTTATGCTCCTGTCAATATATATATAACGTAATGATAACGCAAATTGGAGAACAGTGGCTTATCGACCGGACCAATGACGCATTAACCCGCAAGAGCAGTTTAAAGTCCCTATCAGTCCTCCTTCCTGCTTATCCATGCCTTTTGAGTCCAGAACACCAATCTCAGCCTCTGCGATATGAATCATTTATTTCAAGCATACTGGGTTTATATACTAACCAAACAGACCACATTGTACCATAAAATAGAAAATGACATTTGTACAAGATCTAGCCAAAAATGGCTGTGAATGTGGGAGACTGTAATTAACAGACTGGGCAGATATCAATAACGGTATATCGTATAATAAAATTCGATGGGTCAAAATAAAGCTCATAATAGGAGGAACATGAATATGCATAATTTAGCTGCTTAACAATTATACAGTGAAAATATAATTATCGGATTGGTCAATAAATAGTTCGCAAGAGTTACCATTCATAACATTAATCACACGAGTAGACTTCTGATTAATTCATTTACGTAGACATATGCATGACCTATTACTTATTGCAATTGAGGTTAATTAAATTTTTTTAAGAACTAAACGATAGTGGGTTGACTTACTTAACGACATCAGCGAGTTCGCAGAAGTCATAGAACGATAAGCTAATAGCTGTAATGACAAAACGCGAAACTATAGGTCAGAAAATTTCAGTACATAATATAAAGATATGAAAATTCTGATTCAGTCAGCTACAACGTGGGACCAGGCACACATGTGCATCGGTCCAAGTTGCCACACCTCATTAACACAACAAGATGAACACCAGATTCATAAAAGTAGTTAATTCAGAGGTGGTAATATATAAAAGAAATATTCCATATAGGGACATAGTACAGGAAGAAAGATTTAGTACGTAGAAAGAAAGATATGAAGCGATTTTAATCTCACAGTTAAAAGGAGGACAAAGAGTGTATACTCCTACGCCATTGTGATCGATTCTGAGTCATGTCACACAGTCTCCAAACATTGGTTACGATAGTCACGTGGACAGCAACCAAGTAGTCTGCATCTACCAACATGGCTCAGACTAGAAGTTAGTGACTTCAAGCACTGATGCCACGTTTTGGTTTGGCAGCCCCTAACTTTCTTCCAACCATCCCCAACACCGGTTAGTATTGCACGTCGTGGTAATCGGTGTTCACGCATACGTTACACGTGGCCCAACCATCTCGGTCGATGAAGATTAACAACCTAATCAACTGATTTACCATCATTCCCTAATACCCTGCGTCGAACCTCACTATTACTTACTCGGTGATCCCAGCAGACGCCAGCAATATTTCAAAGGCATCTGTGGTCAAATACTAGTAGCTTACGGGTGTCTTCTACTCTTAAAGGCCATGTTTCGCTGCCGTAAAGTAAAACGGAACGGACTGCCGCGCAGTATACTCGTCCTTTTATTGATAGACGGATATCTCGCCTTCGCCATAGGTGAGGTAATTTGGCAAAAGCCAAATGAGCTTTTCGAATCCATGCTGAGATCTCGTCAGATACCAACTCATTAGGGCTGATCAGACTTCCAAGATAAGTGAAGTTGTCAACGCGTTCGACTACTTCATTGCCTATCCTTAGTTCAGGTGTTAACGCAGACCAGTCCTGAAGCAACAATTTGCATTTAGAGGGAGAGAAGCGCATTCCAAACATTCTGGCATTGTTGCTCAGTGCTACCAGAAGACTCTGCATTCTATCAGCGTCTTCACCAAACAGGACTATGTCATCTGCGTATTCTAAGTCGATAAGTGGACCTCCTGGTAGGAGGTAGAACGAGAATGTTATTTCCATCAATAGGTCTATGATGAAGTTAAACAAAAATGAGGAAAGTGGACAGCCTTGACGGACACTACTTGAGGTTGCAAAAGTAGATGACAGTTCGCCATAAGCTCTGACTCGACTAGTAGTGTTTGAGTAAAGAGCCTTCACAAGGTTTATGTACTTCTGGGGTACGCCTTTCAATGACAGACACTGCCACAGAATCTCGCGGTCTACCGAGTCAAATGCTGCTTTTAAGTCGAGAAAGACCACCATTGTCGGACGCCTATAAGTATGCCTGTGTTCTAGAATCTGACGAATGGTGAATATGTGGTCGATGCAGCCACGACCAGGTCTGAAGCCAGCTTGATTCCATCGTGTTTGCAGTTCACGAGTCTTAGTTAGGCGTCTGATAATTATCGAGGCTAGTATTTTAGATACTATATTAGTTAAACTAATCCCTCTATGGTTGTCACAGGATGATTTTGACCCTTTCTTATATATTGGGGCGATAAGTGATTGTGACCAGTTAGATGGGATAACGTCTAACTCCCAGATCTTAGCTAAAATATTAGTCAACCTAATCGCTAAAATTGGACCACCAACTTAAAGACTTCTGGAACCAGTTCATCTGGACCAGCTGCCTTTCCTCGTTTCAGATTAACTATAGCCTTTTGAACTTCTGCTAGAGTTGGGGGACCTACTTCAATGTTCCATTCACACTGTCTGGGAATGGAGGGTAGTTGTAGAGTAGCTGAAGGCCAGCTGAACTGTTCTCTGAAATGTTCTGCCCATCGTTCTACACGTCTGGACTGGGAGCAGATAAGTGTCGTCTTTTTCCGAAATAGTCTGACTTACACTTGATTTATTAATTCCAGTTTCTTTTATTAGTCTGTAGAGCTGTCTTGTGTTTCCTATAACCGCCACCTTTTCCATCGCTTTTGCTTCCGTTGCCCACCACTCCTCACGGTCGTTTCTTAGACTTTTGCCTAACCTAGATCTAATTTGTTGTCGCTCTTCATCATGTTCGGAACCTGATGGGACGAGTTTGCGAGAATCCATCAGTGATAGACTTTGAAGAAATCCACTGGTTCTTTGTAACTCTGTGGTTTAAGTCACTAACAGATTTCATTGCTGTTTCCACAGCTGATTGTATGTCTTTCCAAGCAACATCTGGGTCAGCCTCGTTTTCAGAACTACCTAATTGTGAACTCAGTTGTTCTTGGAACCTATTTTTGGTTTTCTCGTTACTCAACTCAGTTCTAATGGGTCTTTTTAATGTGGCTTTTTTGCGTCCAGTGAGGCACAAGCAAATGCGTGCCCGTATGAGGGCGTGGTCGGAGTCCAAGCAGGTACTCCAGAATGAGCGACAACCTTCTACCGACCCTCTCCAACGATGACTGATGGCAATATGGTCTATTTGAGTCCATCGTTGGTTTGGTGCAGGCGGTCGCCACGTTAGACGATGTCTCTCCTTATGCTTAAAATTTCTGTTTGCTAAAAATAAACGATTGTCTGAGGATAGTTGCAGAAGACGGTCACCATTATCTGTTCGCTGTGCCGGAATACTAAAATACCCACCTAAATGCCTTTCTGTTTGGTTTAAGCTACCTATCTGAGCATTAAAGTCACCCCCTACGAGTACTATGTCTGAGCGTTTAGCTTTCTGAAGAAGTTCAGATAGCTTTCTGTAAAATTCATCTTTCACTTCATCTGAGCTGCAGTCAGTGGGAGCGTAGGCAGAAACGACAAAAAGGCAACGACGTGTGTCTCTATCCTTCTGAGTTCTTACGGAGCCGTTTAGCCGAACAGCACATAGACGACTGTTGACGGGTATCCACTCTAACAGTGCTTGTTCCGCCCTCGTGCTTAGTGCTATGCCTACACCTGCCAGTTCACGAGAGCTAGCCATCGGGTCACCAGATACACGGAGGGTGTATCTCGTTGGCTCTCCGTTTTGCCGAGATGAGGTCAAGTGAATGACCACACTGGGATCCTGTATGCGTGTTTCGGAGACACAGCATACATCAATGGTACGAGATTCTAGGGTTCTAGCCAAGGAAGCCTGCTGACAGATTTGGTAATCAACTAACCTATATATTTTACTTGAACAAACAGTTTAAAAATAAATTCATATAATGTAAATACACAGATGACAAGAAATAATGAGGTTAACTATAAATAGATTATAAATGCATTCTTCAGACTAAAGAAATAATACATTAGGTATGCGTTTAGACAACTCTTCTAGAAAAATAAGATCGTTAACAATTTAAACTTACCAAAGGTGCCGCACAAGCTAGCATAACAAGACAAGCAAGTGCACGTTTTTTTATTGTTTTTTCATCTTCGTTGAGATTTTGTCCATTTGACTAGAACAAACAAAAATACAGAACATCCATCAACATAAATATCAATCGATCAAAACTTTATACACGGAACAATATACTCGGGGATAACCAACTATAACTCCGAGTTTTGATTCATGTACATCCCTTTATTTATTTAAACACACAAACATTGGTACAAGGAGGTACCACGTATATATGCAGCACACTTCGTTATTCGATTTGAGGACTGGAATACTGCACGGGCACCCAAATGGAAGCAGGTAGTTTTCTCAGGGCACCACACCCCGAGCCTTTGATCTAGAGGTCTAATCCATAAGGCAGTGGAGCAACTTTAGGAGATGCAGTCCCACGGTAGCCGATGACGAATAATAGATTCGTATGCCATTTGTTACCTCAGGATTCTGGAGCCCATGAGACCTGTACCAAACCAATGAAGTGTCAACCAGTACGAGCAGCCTATGATCACATTCGAGTTCTTCTGGTCCTCTGAGATAGTAGCTTCTCGCCTAACCCTACCGGTTTAGCTCAGAACACTGATATCAGCCTCTACCATACGAATCATGTATTCCAGACATATGCAGTTTATATCCAAGCAAATCAGGCTACATCACACTATAAAGTAGAAAATAACAATCATACAAGATCACAAGGGGCAATCACTAAATAAGTAAGTAAGTAAGTAAGTAAGTAAGTAAGTAAGTAAGTAAGTAAGTAAGTAAGTAAGTAAGTAAGTAAGTAAGTAAGTAAGTAAGTAAGTAAGTAAGTAAGTAAGTAAGTAAGTAAGTAAGTAAGTAAGTAAGTAAGTAAGTAAGTAAGTAAGTAAGTAAGTAAGTAAGTAAGTAAGTAAGTAAGTAAGTAAGTAAGTAAGTAAGTAAGTAAGTAAGTAAGTAAGTAAGTAGTAAGTAAGTAAGTAAGTAAGTAAGTAAGTAAGTAAGTAAGTAAGTAAGTAAGTAAGTAAGTAAGTAAGTAAGTAAGTAAGTAAGTAAGTAAGTAAGTAAGTAAGTAAGTAAGTAAGTAAGTAAGTAAGTAAGTAAGTAAGTAAGTAAGTAAGTAAGTAAGTAAGTAAGTAAGTAAGTAAGTAAGTAAGTAAGTAAGTAAGTAAGTAAGTAAGTAAGTAAGTAAGTAAGTAAGTAAGTAAGTAAGTAAGTAAGTAAGTAAGTAAGTAAGTAAGTAAGTAAGTAAGTAAGTAAGTAAGTAAGTAAGTAAGTAAGTAAGTAAGTAAGTAAGTAAGTAAGTAGTAAGTAAGTAAGTAAGTAAGTAAGTAAGTAAGTAAGTAAGTAAGTAAGTAAGTAAGTAAGTAAGTAAGTAAGTAAGTAAGTAAGTAAGTAAGTAAGTAAGTAAGTAAGTAAGTAAGTAAGTAAGTAAGTAAGTAAGTAAGTAAGTAAGTAAGTAAGTAAGTAAGTAAGTAAGTAAGTAAGTAAGTAGTAAGTAAGTAAGTAAGTAAGTAAGTAAGTAAGTAAGTAAGTAAGTAAGTAAGTAAGTAAGTAAGTAAGTAAGTAAGTAAGTAAGTAAGTAAGTAAGTAAAGGCCAATATGTCAAATGGATGATTATAATAAAAGGGATATGAATATGCATATAATATAGTTACAAAATGGTTATGCAATAAGATATATATAGTAACAGTCCATAAATAGATTCCAGTAGTTACCGTTCACTTATTCTTCGTTCGGATATAAGTTCCTACATGACATAATCCTTCACTTGAAGCGAACACCATTGATAAGAAAACAAATCAGGAATGACCAACACAACTCGTATTCTAAGCTACCAGTTAGCAAGCAAACGCTAGTTCAACGGTTCCTTTAACTGTTTAGTTCATTATTTTCAATGTCTGGTTTGAGAATGGATCATAGATTTACTTCTCTTCGTAACAGCGTAATTCACTGTCTATATTTTTTGATCATAGCATATTCAGTAAATCCAAACAACTTTCTAACGTTAGCCAACCAGCATCATTACTGTTTTGTCTGTTGTTTTCATTATCTGTTACTCTTCACTATAAAAACCTTTTGTTCTGCATTTGTCTCCACTCTATCGTTTTTGGAGTTGGACAGAGAGATTTACTAAGGACAATACAATAAACATACTTGAATGGAGTCCAATGTCTGGAAAAACTCATATGAAAGTTAATAATTAATTTCAACATAATATGTAGGTTTTTATTTCTAATCGTCGAATGGACAGAAATAAAACTTACCTGACTATCACTAAACCATCCTATCAATACACCACCGATTATGCCACCAACATCGAACAACACAGAAAGTTTAGCAGCCTGTTCAGCTGACACATGTTCAACAATGGTTAAGTAGTTTGGTAACCAATAAAGAAATGTATATGAGACAAGTTTCGTAAAGAATAATAAGAGTGAGTAGGTAAACACACTCTGCAAAATAAACAGAAAAACAGGAATGATAAGGAGAAAATTTCATAGAATAATTAACGAATATATATATTAATGAATTACTGTATATAAAGACTTTGTGAAGATAGTTGAATTTTGGTGGAGTTTCGTTTTCTGGATGATTTGATTATGGAGCTTTAATTGTTCTTCTTAATAAAATCATCAGCACGAACTTCAAATAGAAGTGAAGTATTCGAATTTCTCCACATATGACTCACAACTTGTTCCGTCAACCTCGATCTTTATTGGTCATTGTTTACCTATAACCCGTCGCGAACTGTCTCTTTATTGTGATTTTACAGCCCTTCGATCTGATTCTTAGTCCTAAGTTTGTCAGAAGAGCAATGAACACTCCACAATCAAACAAAACTTCACTAACATCCAGCTCAGCTACAAATGTTCTACGCAAGATAAATGAATTTTATAATGAGTAGAAATTGTTATCTTGTATGGTATCCGAGTCTGTTACTGATATACAAGCTTCCCATACGCGAGTTCATCTAGTTATTTGACTAAAAACAACCAAGACTGAGTAGGAAGCCTTTGTTGGCTAACCAAATAGGCAATATATGTACATTCACAAATAAATATACATCTTCATCCGTCAGAAAATGAAGCCATATTTCAACCTATAGAAAGGGACCTTTATCATTTATCACTTATCAGTTGGCCTGTATGATTTCCTACCCAGTGACTCCTGGTTTTTCAGAAATTAAACCTTCACTGTGAAAACAACTAAAGCATATGCTAGGAAATAATAAGGAAAACGTGTTGCATCAATAGATTAGACAAAATAACGAGATTCGCAAATATACGTCTTTAGAGTCGTATAGCCGGATTAAAAATACATTAAGACAAACTTACTGGTAATAGAAGAGCTTCAATGAAATTAATTGGTCGAGTGGCCTCGATATCCGATATTAAAGGCCTCAAACCATCTTTGTCTGACCTTTCGCGGTCGATGTTTCCCTGTAGAGAAATAGGACAACAATAACACTATTAGGTAGATACAAAGTAGCGCACAAAAATGGTTAGCTATTACTTCATAAATCCAAGTGACGTTCAAATTTACAAACATAATTTGTATTCAGAAATGTAGTTGGTTTGGTTTGGTTTTAGTGATAAGGTTAAGTAACTGGAGTTCCAATCCAATCGGTTTGAATCAAGAAGCTTATTTATAAGTCCAAAAACAACAGAGTCACTTTCATGTAACGATTAAAAATTTACTTTATTTCAGTCCTGATTCATTTATAAGTTTTCTTATTCATCCAACTGATGTATGACATAAATCAATTTGAAGGCAGAGTTCAATAAACTTTTTGAAGCCTTTTATTCTGACTCCAAAAAGATCGTATGTTATCGAAATATACATCCCCGCTATCCTCGTTCATAATTATCGAATTAATTCACGTTAGAGAATAACAGAATAAGTAAGGTATGAGGATGAATTTTGAATACGTGTATTTCGTACACTTGTTGATCAGAATAGACATTCAGAATGAAAAGCGAAGCAGAGAAGACGAAAGAACCAACTCGGTTTGTTGAAGCGTGACTCGATATTTCAAGCCAGACAAAAATAAGCGACAGACACGTAGTTATTAGAGGTAAGCAATCAACAAACGCTCATATAAGAACAGTCAAGGTTAATAAGTAATTAACAGTCAAAATGTGACTCCAAAATAATGAATAAACTGGTCTGTCCGGAAGCTAGAATAACCCCTGTAGGCTTGGCATAGTAACAGACTCTACAAGTTATTGTCTTACACACATTTGATCGAAATAATTTCCGCTCACGAGTTAAATTGAAGTTACGCGAACTATTTGGACAGTTACTATCATTGTGAAGTAATTAACAAATCTCTCTTTTGTATCATAACAACAGGGTAATGTAATGGTCTGTATTATGTAAAATTAGTAGAAATACTACCTACAATTTTTTCTGTTTTATCGACTGATAAACTTAATGTTGTAATGCCTTTCATGTAATTTTTCAGAATCCCTAGATTAAGCAATAGTAATACCATTCATGAAACTTGGTTGGGATAGTAGGAGTCCGGGTGGTAACACTGTCCACTATACAAGCCGTATAGTTCAAAATCGAGGGAATAAATCTGCTGTATGTAAATGAGTTACCCGTAAATGAACGTTAATTATATCACAGTAACTTCCACTGTCTCTGTTCAGCTAAAGTAATGAAAAAAATAGATGAAGATTCTTTATTATGATCATATATAATTCAACACGAAGAAGCTGGAGCAAACGGAGCTACAAAAGAAAACATAAATTGATCCAATCTTATGAACTCAGAGTTAATTTAGACTTGTAATCGGTATGGAAAATCGTAAAAGTAATCGATGCTCTAAGTGGAAGAGTGCTTCATGAGTACAGCACATGGAAAATAACCCACAGAGGTGGAATTGGTTTTTTACATGCCACATAAAATGTTGCTACTCGTTAACCATGTTCAAATAAAGTATTTTGTTGTGAACCCCAAAACCACCATATTAAAGAATTTCCACTTTTAAGAATGATTATATTAATTGATAAATAAACTACAAAAGCTCATAAAGTGGAGAGTGAAGCATGTACTAACTAGACTATATTACTTATATCCTCCAAGAAACAGACAGTAATTAAAACTACTGACTGACGACAAGTAACTAACAGACATCATACTGGTATTATCAATAAAATCAGTGGACCAAAATAAACGGTTGATATATATGACATAAATGGGTCTTTGAATAGTCAGCTTTATGATGAGTTGGCAATTGTGTATACGACTCATTTAAGCTGTGATAAATCGTCAATTCATATAGGATGGTTTATACTTTGTTTCTACAAGGATTATTTATCAAATTACGTTTAGTAAAAGCTTACGGTTGCATTCGAACAGCGCGATTGGAAAAAATAAGGAATAACGGACATTCATAACAGTATTCGGAAGTCAACACGGATCCCAAGTTCACGTAGTGAATGTAATAATGAACGATGCATTTTGAAGACTACTTGTTAATATATACATACAATCAAAGCTTTTGTCTGTATAACATTTTATTCCCACTGATGCCAGTGTTTATTTCTAAAACGAATTAACTTTCGCAAGTTACTTCACAATAAGCTATAAAAATCTATGAACGAATAGATAATTACCCTATATATGCTTCCTGACATTGGAATTTGAGTACCTGTTTTTTCGGAACTAGCCGAGTTATAGACCATGTTAGGATGCTCTATAACTGTCAGGTAGACAACCAACGCCCCAACCATCATGATAAGACCGGGGAGATAAAAAGAAGCCCCCCAGTTTGTTTCAACATAGATTCCGGCAATGACGGAACCTATGATATTTCCTAAACTTGTATGAGAATTCCAAAGACCCATAATAAGTCCCCGTCTATACGAAAACAGGAAAAACACAAATGTGAACGTTAATAAAAAGGAAAGAAAAGCTTGTCTATAATAAACTACATTCTACAAACTCAGTTTACTGAGTTCAAATTGTTACATAATAAATTGAACTTACCATGTGCTCGCTAGTGACTGGCTTCAAGATGAATTTTCTGGAGTTCTAGTGAGAAGCCGTGACCAGCGGAAATCAACCGTGTCTGTTGTGAGACCGTTACTCACTGAAGACAATAGTGGACGGTCGCGCAATATCGTGGATTGGTTGAACTTAGACATTAACACCGTTGAATGCCGGCTCAGTAGTCTAAAGATTAAGCGTCCGCTCGTGAGACCGAAGTTCCTGGGTTCGAGTTCCTTTGGTGCGGGACCATTGATGCATTGCTGAGGAGTGGTCTAACATTGATCCATTCATGATATCAATCTAAATTGAAATTACTTTGCAAGAAAGTGAACTTGACTTTTGTAGGATTTAAACGGAGTTTACAATCGCGAGGGTATATTAATCACTAATTGCACTACAAACGATTTTTTAATGTTTTAATTGGATGTAACTTTTGTTTCAAAAGGGATCACTATTCCACTCTCATCTATTAGTAGTGATAAGGACCGAACCATTTTTTATCGACAGAGGAAATTCTCTGCTAGTAACCATACGCAAATGAACTTGTGGTAAATGTAAACATTATATATATATATATATATATATATATATATATATATATATATATATATATATATATATATATATATATATATATATATATATATATATATATATATAATCAGTATTAAACGTGAAACTTTGTTGGAAACCTGCTTTTGCCCCACCAATTTCCCACCAGAGTAACAACAGCCGGCCATCCAGAAGCTTGAACAAAACCAGAAAACACCTGGAAGTGACAATTAAACATTTTTTACCTGTATAAAGACGAAGTATGAGTAGTAGTGAATTTCAAAGTATGAAGCCAGTCCAAATGCAAAAGTTGAAACTCCACTAAGAAACATTCCGATAGATAAGAAGTATCTTAAATTGACTCTTTCTGCAAGAAAGCCACTATAAAGTAGTTTAATATCTTTTAGACTCACCTTAGAATCATTGAAACTGCATAAACAAACAAATAAATATATTCAAGGCCACCCAGTAACTGACTCCAATTGTCAGAATCTAAATACAGCCGTCAACCATACGAAAAAAACTACCAAACGGTTTCCAGCCGTCAGAAGTGAAACCAACAGTTCTTAGTTGTCCATTTACGCCGGAACGATGAAGAACCGTCTTAACAATGCTAAGGGGTTTTCGTGAGGCATGATAAAGTGTGTAGCAAAAGTAAGTAAGCAGGAGAATGTATATTGCCAGTCTGTCGGTAATATCGAACAAACAAAAAATACCATACCTTCGGAAGTCATTTCGTAATACCGACGTGTGGAGAAGTCTATAACAAGGAGGTAAAGATCGTTCCATCAAAACCAACTAAAAAGCGCCGGACCGCTTCAATAGTCTATACGTCAGAAAATTTTCTTATACCTTAAGCTGTTGTTAGCGAATACACAGAGTGTAAACTGACAATTAACTCAGGAATCTAAAGGACAGAAAACAAACCGAAAACTCGTTAAGCATATACAATACATTTACGTGTGACAATAGTTTACATTGTTATAGAAACGTATTCGGGTTTACACGTTCTTACTGAAACGAATCGCCTCATTGACTCTAATTTCTGAAATTTGTTTTCATTTGTGGTATTGGATTCGTCTAGCCTACATAAAACTAAGTAATAGCGGTATATCTTACCAGAATTGCAATACCAAATAAACAAGTGTTACATTATTTTTCAGAGATAGGGTTCTCTGTACAACTGACTTTTTACTTATCTTCGTGAGGCTAACTGGATGTTGAGGGCTTTATATTGGATTTGGAGAACAGGTCACATTGAGAAGACAGGGCAATTGACAAGACGGTACCAGATTTATAATATTGGAAATTATATTTTGAAGTGACAACAGCTCTGACAATATACATAAACGTTTATTGAAATGGATCTACGTCACACCTTTTTCGGTGGCAAGTACCTTTTATAATAATAGACTTATATGATTTTGAAGCAAGGATTTGTTGTTTAGGAGGCTGATTTCGGCGAGACCAAGCTCTTAAACTTAGGGAATAAAAATAAAATGTTATTAAAAGGGATGTATGACAATTTACAAAAGCGAAAAGAATCCAAATTTATTGGATGTAAATATCTGCATTATATTGCATTAGTCCGCAAATATAATCTTTGGTAGATCTTAAAACAAGGACTTGAGCTTCAGATAGTTTTGAGTTGAAATGGAGTCCATTAACTAAAATGTAATGAGATTTTTGGTGGGACCGCAATTTATGGAAGACCTTTAAGTAACGCCAAAACGACTTTGGAATGTTCAACTACTTGGTTTAAATGAGGGTTATAGATAAGGTTGAGGAGTTAGGATTAAGATTTACAGTTGACCGCTTAAGTTAGGGATTAGATCTAATGTTTTCATCACGAACCAATATAAGCTATAATGCCAAAATGGTTCTTAACAAAATGAGTGACTGAATTTCGCGTCAAATTCAAATACATGCTATCTAATTGGTTCGTTCATAAATAAGAGATTCCCCAAATTTTTCCCTAGGTTATGATATTTCAAACACATAAACAATGCTGGAAAACGCTCTACAGTCATCAAATTTTAGTTTAAAAACTATACTGCAGCTAAGGATGCATATAAATACAAAATTATCATACGAGAAATGGCTATTTTAGAACTTTCAGTATTTCTTGAGAAGCTATTTTTACACATTTAAATTGACAGGAAATTATGCGTTCTGCCACCACCGCTTTAGCAAGGACTTTTTAGTATTAGGAATAAGGGTATTCCCAAAGGCCTTATTGAAGTGTCTTTATGAGGGATAACTAATAAAACCTGACCCTAATGGAAGAACATGGTTAAAAGATGCTGTGGTCATAAGACACTTTAGGGCTTGACTTGCAATAGGTCATGGAAATTTTTACACAAGCAAGGCGGGTGAGGCTAGAATTTATGGACGAACTCTTAGCGACGTTAGAGTAACCTTGAGAGGGTCAACTTAATAACTAGGACCAAATGAGGATTATAAACCAGTGTGACGAATTAGAATTAGGATTTACAGTTGATGGTGATGATGATGAACTGTCCATTTATGGAAAATATTCTTATGGTTAGGGTTAAGAATTATATTTAGGGTTTTCACACGGACTGACAGCTATAATGTCAAAACTCTATTTAACCAAATAGATGGGTGAGTTTTGCGCCAAAATTCGAGACCTGCTATCTTATACCTGATTGGTGCGTTCATAAACTAGGCTTGCCGCAAGATAAGACATTACCACCCTAATCATAATTGAAGATGCGAAATGCCAGTATAAGGTCACCTCGCGTCCTATGATACGACAAGGGAAAAAGGTTTGGGCGCTCATTGTAAGGGAGTTTAGAGAGACCCTATACTAGATTTATATGAGCATACTCTACATAGGATTAACTGCTAAGCCCCAACTTCGAGCCCATCCAACTAATTCATCTAAGTCAGCTTGGAGATCAAAATGATCAACCTCACTTCTTATTGTTCTCCAGATTCTCACGTCATCCGCAAACAATAATGTCGACGACCTAAGCAACAGCGGTAATTTATTAACGTAGAGAAGGAAAAGTGGAGGGCCTAAGATATTGCCTTGGGTACACCACTTTTGACCGGCTTCCAATCAGACAGCGTTCCATTGACCCTCACTCTCTGCGGTCGCATAAGAAGTTTCCTACCCATTCCTGTAAAGCACCTGTTATTCCGAAGCCTAAGAGCTTCCGCATAAAACCTAAATGTGAAAACTTGTCAAATGCTTTGCTAAAATCTATGAATAACAAATCAACAGACAGACCGTTATCTAGGGCTATTATCCAATCCTCTCTCAAGAAGAAACACCTAATAAGAAAAGCAGGAGACTTTCTCACGCCAAATAAATCTGATAAAATGAACGTAAATAATAATTGACAGTGCAGTATTATAATTGTTACGCAGAGCAGAATAATAATTGTTTTGATCATAACACATCTGCCCAGTCTATGTGAAAAGAACGGAAGAGAAGAGGTAATATGGCATTCAACGCAAGCATTTTGAATCTAACAAACTATACACTTATTTGTGAGTAAAGTGTTAGGTCGAGTATTTCATTATCAAATGCATCAGTTTTTGTTAATTAACTAGATTCGAATGATGCAACGTCACAGTGAACATACAAAACGCACTGACACTTATAAATGAAACTAAGGTATGGTAATTATCAACAGAAAATTCGTGGTATCAAGACAATCTTGTTATAAGAAACAATTGATGTAAACAGCCCCACGAGACTTCAAACTTACGGACGACCTGTATACGTTCAAATGGCCTCGACAAGTTGACCTTGAAACATTCCATGACCATGATGAGAAGTAATCAATTATTATTTCTTTTTTATTTCACATAGAAATTATACTTCCAATTTTCCCTGGTTGCATGTGAAATTTGGACGTATTTAGCTGAGGTTAACCGTCTTCACTTACTTCCTGCCGTGATGTTAGAAACGATGTGATCAGACGATTAAGGTATTTTCTGACCATAAAGTCTAACAAGAAAATATAAGTGTAGTTCTTGTGAAGATTTAAAGCTTTTATTGATGTCAAATAGCAGTTCATTGTCTCTTCATTCATTGCAAGATCTAAAGCTGCCACTGAGAAAATCCACATGTACTTTAGTTTTGTAGCGGTAAATAAATCCCCAAAATAAATAGCACTAAGTTTTCGACATTGGATGCTGACCATATGTTTTAGTGGACTCACCTAGCTGAAGGCGCTCGGTCAGGCATCCGCACCAGATCACGTGTGGTAACGCCGTGCTCAACATCTACCGCAATCGCTAGCCAGTTTAGATCAGAGAATTCCGATATATTGGTCATCGCCAAATATACTCTTCCGATCTCCTCGACACTGTCTTTTGATTTCTCTGGGCGGGAACGAAATATATTAGAAGGTGTTACTGGTGGAAGCGTTGTCAAACACTGAATACCTGTGACATCATCAGTTTAAACTTGAAAAATAGTATCAAATTATGTCGCCACAAACGTCATGATCTTGATTATTTATAAACAGCTTGAAGGTCAACAGGCTGAGTTAGTCGTTCTGGTTTACTTTTTGATTCTGAGAGACTTTGTGTGACTCTCCAGTATCTACAAGAGGCTTCCTGCCAAAACTGTCTTCTAACATAAAATAAGCTATCCAAAGGTCGGTATCCGTGGAGGGGTTATTTGTTCCTTAGTGTTTGTTCGTGCTGAACTCATGGTTGATCTCGTCTGGCTAATTCAGTATGAAATTCTCACCAGTTTCAGTAAAACTGAACGATATACCTATAATTCGGCTTTCGCAGCCGTGGTAACTTCGTTTTCTGTTATCTACCTCCAACTTGGGTCTTTTGATGTTCTTGATGTGTTCCGTTGAGGTCAGGTCTACTGATAATTCTAAAACTGGTGCTTGGTATACTGTGTGCTCTCCGAAGGGAGACTCACCTCCATAATCATACTTTCAATAGGTGCTTAAGAAGTGTCTAGGTTTTGTAGTTAGGATTAGGAATGTTATCTATCACATTATGTCCTCCCGTGAACCATTCTTTAAATCATCTAACTATAAGAAAGGTAAGGGACTCAATATCTCCCATCGAATTGTTGTATTTGTTTGAAACGTAAGGAGACATGGAAACGAAGTTTAAAAGTTTCTTTGCTACTGCTTTAATTATAAGATCATGACTGTGGAAAAGAAGTGGTAACCAACTGATGTAAACTAAAAATAAGGGAGATGAATATAAATTTAAGAAGTAAGAACAGTACGATTATTTTTAGATTGGAAAGAAAGGTTGTCATCAAGATTATCATCACCAGAGGAACTTTAACAAGTTGGAGTAATTACATTGACAGTTAGCATTTAGCATTTAGAATACTACATATATGACCACTTTACGAAGTTTAGAGACCGAAAAATACAGTAATATGGCTCGAAACAGCAAACTGTGGTCATTTGCACAGGAGTGTTTTCTACAGTAATTCGGGTTGTATATAACTTTAAATATCAATTACACTGAAGCATGGTAAAAAATACTTCTGACTGTTATGTTCTTTGCCACGTGTTTTCATCACGATACACGTATATTATGATAATAAATGTTGTTATGTGCCTGGACGCTTTATACTAACCTTCAGACAGATAAATAGTTTTATGCTTCCCGGTAATTTTATCACTTACATATGTGACCCAAAGCATGTGGACATAATAGTATACATGTTTCTGTATGTTCGCTTGCATCATTCATGTCTGTAAATGTTGAATCACATTTTGGCTGAATTAAAGAAACAGCGAAGCCTTACATATGCCGCACCTCTTGCAGTTTGTCTGAACGTCTGAAAGAAGTTTTTATGTAGCGGTAAATAAATACTCAAAATCAGCAGCTTTTTAAGCCTTCGACCTTTGATGCTAACCGCATTAGTTTTAATGAACTCATCTAGCTAAAGGCTCTCGGTCATGAATCCGCACCAGATCGTGGGTGGGTACGCCGTGCTCCACATCCCGTACAACCGCTAGCAAGCTTAGGTAATTCACTTCGCCATATAAATGAGCATGCATTCCACTCACAATAGAAAATCGGCTTTTCCTGCAACTTTCTGGTTTAACTTCTCAGCCGAATCAAATAAGTTTTACGTTACAATCTAACTCTTACCAAGACGATCTTTAGAACGATGGATCTATATTTTACCATCGAAAACAGCACTGAAGTACAGTCGTTAAATAGAGAAATAAAATGTTAGTATTATAGTACTACAAAAGTCAAAGAGCAAATTATGCTTGACAATACACAATGAATGTTAAATCTCTGTAGTCTTTGGGTGGAAAGCTGGTATAACTTAGCTACTCTTCAAACTCAACAACAAATACATAACTATAAGCAGACCAATATTACTCTTTTTGTCTTTGATATAGTGCGAAAAGTGAATTGATTTCGGATATCTCAGATAGAGCCGAAGAGATATATTATGGATTTTGTAGCTTTCTATACAAATTTTTTTGGTTCATTATAACTCCTCTCGGTTTTCAGTGAAGCGCTGGATGTTTGTACTATTATTGGGGTGTTACAGAAATCAGGTCACTCAAATCAGTGCGATAATCAACGTCCGAAGAGGTGCTAATGAACCATCGTCATTTTGATAAAACACTTTACTCAATTAATCACAACAGAAAATGTGCAGAAGATTCGAATCGTAATAGTAGATCTACGATTACGATGTCTGGTTATAAGAGGCTTGAACCGCTTACTTAGAGTTGTTTTTAATTCAATCCCACAAAGATTAAGAGTGTCCATTAAGCACTCCGTCAATTTCTCGCTTTTCGTTTTCGAAGTTCTCTTCACGAAATCATCAAATACATTGTACAAAACAATCTTCACTTCATCAGCTAAAAAATTCATTCAGTTTGACGGAATAACTTTCCACACAATCTTCAGTAGTTTCATCCGTCCCCATTTAGAGTACGGAAACATAGTACTCCCCCCTCACTCCAAAAGACAAGGTCACTTTGGGGCGTATCCAACGGCGAGCCACGAAATCAGTTCGAGGACTCAAATCTAAGCCTTACGAAGAACGCCTCCGTTCACTAGACCTTTACCCACTAGAATATAGGCGTCTTAGAGGTGATTTATTAATGGCTTATAGTATTCTTAACACTTCTGGACATCCTCTTAAACACCTACTTAAGCTTAGTTCGAACAATAACCTAAGGGGTAACACCCAGAAACTGGAAACACAACATAGCAAGACGGAATGTAGACACAACTTCTACTCCTTAAGAGTTGTCAAAATCTGGAATTCACTGCCGACCGAGTTAGTCCAAGCGACTTCTCAGGAGTCCTTCAAGAGGCAACTTGACCTATTCTTAAGGACCAAGGACAGCATCACACTATGATTTATCAATTTCTTTTCCTCTTTTATTGTTAACATACCTAGGTTCCTGCCTGGAGGATTTCGTGATCCCCTGCTACTAGACACGGAAGCCTGTTAAGCGAAAGCTTCTTCTATTCCGTCCACAACCATTTGAACCATTTGAACCTATTTAAATCATGCCCTGGCTTCTCATGCAGTATACTAGCTAGAATCATTGCTCAGACCTTGTAGAGTATTCAATTTCACTTATTTTTTTAGGTATATGAATTCATAACAGTTCCCTTTTACTACCTGTGGAGTTCAGTAATACGACTAAAACTGGGAGTTTATATTCGTCAGTTTAAGCTTATCAGAGACCAGGATACAATCACCACAGTTATGATGATGCTTCAAAGAGACTAGTTTTCACTCCGTGCTTGTAATGGATGCTGACTTCATTGAAAATTAAACAACGGGTGACTCGTGACTTTTCAAAATTCTGCCACTACACTTCAACTGAGATGTCGGGTAACGATAATATAGATGAGGCGCATGCTCTGTCTGAATCAGAAGCTCAGGATGTCCAGCACTTAAGGGAAATCGCTGGTGGAATAGGTTACTTGGATGCACTAAAGCTTTTGGAGGAAAGCTCTTGGAACTTAGAGGTGTGTCTTGAAAGTTAATAATCAGTTTTCAGCGTGCTGTGCATAAATTAATGGGATTTGAAGACTCTGGTTTAAGACAACGAAGTACTGCTTCACGTATTTCGTCCGTACCACAGGTTTGCTCTGTACTTTTCAATTAACTCCTCAGGTTGAGTTAATTCCTCCTAATCAGCGGATACTGAGGTCAAGAAATAGCACTCATAGTTGGTGGTGGTCTACTGCTTTGTTTTTATTTGAACCTATTCGATTGGGTTGTAGCTTGCTCTTTGGAATCGTGAAGTTTTTCAGTGAGTCAGACTTACTTGAATTATCTGGTGTTGAACTACTCATAATTGGTGTGAATTCGGTATGACCTTTTAGTCTTATGTTTGTGCACTTTATATCTCCATTGTCTACATATTTCTAGCTTACGTTGTCAAGAAAAACAGGCATGATCTCTTTTAATTACAGCAAAGAATTAACGCAAAATTTGTAATATTATTAACGTTGTCTTATATCCATCCTTAAGTTTTCTGAAAAAAGCCTGTTAGGTTTCAATTAGTGGTTACTTGTATTCATCCTTAAACGAATACGATTACGAAGTCCTTTATTACATAGTATATTATGTTCGAACTCTGTAGTAATGTCTTCCCCTTTAGTGGTTATGCAAAGGAAAATATGTACCAATCATTATAGTCGTTCATCCTGAATTTCTCAGAAATTGGGCTCAAGATATGTTTTCAGCATTTTCTGATGCGCTTAGTTACGCTCGGTTATCGTATATAATTGGCCAATCAGAACAAATATGAAGCATGAGAACTTATAATCGCAAACAAAGCATATCGGAAAAAGTCTTATTGCATTACGTTTACGCAGCTTAGACTTTAGCCTACGTGGTAATGTGATTTTGAGTACCCTCTCGCGTTTGACGTATAATTATGCCCTGTGAACTGTTACACTTTACTTAATTTGAACCGATCCAAAAATACTCTACTTTCGTGCAAGGAGCAGTAATGTTCCACTGTTTACTACTGCTTAGATAAATAATGTGCCTTGATTTTTTCCAAATATCTCAAAGTCGATTTCACAGTCTTCTGCATGATCTTCCGAAATAAATGCTAACAGTGACAGATCTCATACGTTATAACAGTCGTTTGCCACTCAGAATGACAGTAGCAGATATGAGTTTTAATGATTACAACTGTTTATTCATTCTAAGACGTGACACGTACGGAACACATATAACGTAACTTTGTTGAGAGGACTAGAACAAGAATCAAGAGTGAGTGTTAAGAGTGGCACTTGGTTGTCGTCCAAGTGTTCTAATCGAGGACTTAGGTGACAATGGGTTTCAATAGTTTGTGATTTATCGATTCGGTGAACTTCAGTTCCATAATATTCTCCCAATTAATGAATGGTGTATCGAAATTTTCGAGGTGACTGCGCTTTTTTGTGACCAGAATCTCTGGTTTTAAGGGAAGATTAGCGTGGTTTGTATACTTCGATTACCTTACTATCCTATTCTTTTCATTTTAATTGATAGTATAGTCTTTCATGTGTCAGGATTTCCTCAACTGATGGACTTAGGGTTCACATGTGAAGGACGCTAATGCCTCTACTTGCGAATATCAATTCTTCGGAGTTGAAAAAATCAGTAGGTGTACGTTCTTATCAATTTTGTCAAACACGATCTATTTTTCTATCATTGAGCTAGTTACTGGCTCTTATGGATCACCTACATTACTGAACTTAACTCAGTTATTTGGCATGCTGCCAGTGTTATTGTAGCAAACTTTGGTTTTGACTGTTACTTTCTTTGCCCCAGTGTGTTATGAACTATATATCTTAGAGCTTTTGATTCACAAAGGATTTTATTACTATCATTTATCAAGAAATTAGGTCATTTTACCCCTTTCTCCAATGTCCTTTTGATTTTATTTCAACTGTCATGTAGTCTCTGAAGCAGAAACCTGGATATGTTTACTATTCTTGACGTTTATATCGACTTGTAACCAAATTTTCTCCATAAAAGAGGTTACGATCACCTCCAAAATTACGTCGGGAATCATTCTACCAACCTTGACACTGGCAACCAGCTCTGGAGATAATTTGTCCGCCAAAATCAGAGTAGATACAGGGAAATTAGAGCCTATGATCTGTTGACCCTGGTCGCTTGGTTACTTCAGATTATCATCCAGCCTGGAATTTGGATATTTATTTTTAAGTTTTGGCTTAGTGACATGAATTGTCTTTAATCATCCATGTTGTTCTGACTCAAGATAAAGCTATTACTGATAGAAATCACAAATGTTCTTACATGTTATTTGGCTGACAGAGTTCATTAAGCTGTCTGGAAGATATTCTCGCTATCGGTCAAGCGTAAACTCGAAAATCCACTCTCTCGGTTGTCTTTATCACTTTCGACACGGTGGGTGGATGTTGTATATATAAGGTTTTTCTCAAGTGATAATGTTTTTATGAATATTATTATGTTAGAAATACCTTTTTCTACTCATTTATGCAAATTTTTGATTGCATGGTTTTAATTTGAAATTCAAATATATAAAAAGTTTTATCGTAATTATTTCCCTTATCAAGCTTCATTCCTTTGGTCTGATCCTCGAAATCGTAAGTTTATAAATGCTCCTTAACGTCAATTTTCAAAACATGTAATCCTTTATTTTCATAACAATTTGTCGCAGTTATATTTCACAGCTACCTGGTTAGTTCAACGTAAAAAATATTTGATCCTCACAAACAGTTAGCAAATGTATGCATAGATCAACGAATTCATACATCAATACCTAATCAGTGTATCATGGATTTTTGTCCAAAGGTTGTCATTGGTAAATTTTATCTGCACCCACTAAACAATGACATTAGTTCTTTATTTTGATTTGCTGACTAGTAGTTTAGTACAATATACACTTCCTTTCGAAGCCTCAGTTCCTTACGTGTTTAGAAATAACTGGTATAGTAAATGGAATTTGTATTCATCTTTTTCTTAAGGACAGTAATCAGTGTTAATTACATACCATTTGAACAACATGCTCGTCTGTGAATCTACCTTTAGTATTACTCGGCTGTCCAGAGCGAAATAGATGAAAAGTTGTTGTAGTCAGTTACTCATTGAATAAAAGTTAAATACTTAACCTGTTGAATCACAGGATCGGAGTGTATCTCCGTCAAAATATGTTTGTGTCTGCATGTAAATTTTTCACCATACTCACTAATCCGCTTTGTACTTGCAGCGTAATTTTTAACAACAAATCATAGATTCGGATTTCAGAATCATTTTCAGATTCAATTACTTTAAGATAATACATTCCCTAATCGTTTAAATTTCTGGTTCTGAAATAAAGAACCATACATTAGGATTGTGTAAGTTAATTCCACGTAAGCCCGTTATTTACGTATCATGGATGTCAGTATTAATCGTACAAATACCGGATACAAATTGTCCATAATCGTATTAGGTTAGACAAATAACGTAGTCTATAACCCTATATTCCGTATTCTCAGGTAGGAAAAGTGTTTTTAGAATTTCTGAGGCAAGTTTCAAATCATCACTGTCAAATGTGTTAGACGTTACCTTGATGTGTGATCATTCTGTCACCGCCTTTTTTGGTTTGGGCAATCATATGGTATAATCAACCCTCACACTAACGGTGTGGCTCAAAGATGAATGCTTAAATCTTATACGTGATAAGTTAGGCTTCTCAATTCACCAAGCTAACTTTATTTCAAAAATATCAATTCGTCTTATCCTACTATGTAAATGCATGTAGTTACACGGAAGATCATAATTAAGACAACATAATTTGGATACCTCATGTCACAACGCCTTTTAGATAATGCATAATTACTTCCACCAAGCAATCTCGTCACAGTTGCTTCTAGAATGATCATACCAGTATTCATGTTCTTTACACGTTCAGAAACCTAAGGCATTATCGTAGTTTTCACTGTAGGCAATAAAAAGGGATGGTGGAAAACATCGTACACTCATATCTTAATCCTTTAGGTTAGACTCAAAAAAGGCATCATAAATTATTCGACTTATGGTGTAGGTATCCATTTAGCCATACCATATCGGCAAAATAAACTAATGGGGTAAAAATAATGTATATCGATCATATAATCTTTCACTAAACCACAGCCGAAATCTTATTTTGCAAGTACTTTCTCGTTTAGTAAAATGTATACGAAGCCTTCCTGCAATATCTAGGGTTTCGGGAAGATTAGTCATTGGGTTACAGAACAGTGATTTTATGAATGGAACTTCAACTTCTGGTTTTCCGGTTAGTTTTGCAAGTGTTCTTAAAGTATCTACACTAATCGTAGGCGTGTTTAAATAGTATCAAGTTTCCCTCGGTTTTTCTGAGTTTAAAATAGCTGATTTACTAGGCATGAATTTATGTACCCGTCTTTGAGCCACATTTTTGTCTATATCAGGACTGATTTTATTAAGTTTTCAAACGAAAGTTGACGGAGCGAGGTTAGTATTATCGTTATTTGAATACAAACACTGGTACTGAGGTACACCAAAATATATATGCCCCACACAATAAAAACGATATTGTGAAGTGATCAAGAAATGAAGGTAAGTATAATAATAAAAGAACGAAAAATGAATTAGTGTATGAAAGTGAAAAATATAATGCTAGGAGGAGCAGTTCAGTTAAGAAAAAAACAGTTGGAAAGGGTTCTTCCAGTTAAAGAAGTCCTCAATGATATGAAGAAAGTTACACCAGGACCTCCACTGGCTTCCGTTCTGAGCCGTGTCTGATAATGTCTAAAGCCACTGTGTTGCGCCATCTCTAGGACCCCAACTAGAGTTGTGAATGACCGAAAAACTAGTCCTGTACAGCTTCCTTTCACACCACGACACCATTTCGTGCATTGGCCATCTTTTCCATCCAGGCCAGGCGTCGGGAAATAATGCACGATCTGGGGTTTGCTGGGAAAACATTCGAGTGTGCCCTCCTAAGAAAACCACCTGCTCCGGTTTTGGAACCCGGGCAGTATCACACAAATCAAGTAACTTGTGTGGCGCATATATATTCGGTGCCCCTTTGTACCAATATTTATGTGTTCAAATAACAAATAATATAATAAAAGTTTCATAGGTGGTGTAAACCCTTTTAAAGATGGGGATGACTGTTGATTCATTCCATGATGTTGGGATACTCTAACTGCCAAACGTTTGCGAATAATCCATTTATTTCTATAACCCATAGGTCGCCCCTATCCTTAAAAGGGACCGGAGGTAATTCACCTGGGTCTCGTGATTTGTGGCGCGTCATGAGATTGAGTTCTTTGCAAACTTCCTACCTGTTAAGTGGGTGAATTGTCACTAATCATGAAGGAAGTGACAATCTGATCGATGTCGCCGGGGCAGCAGACCAGTTAAACTGTTCCTCGAAGAACTCTGTCCATCGTCCCAGACGTTGGTGGGTGTTATTGATTGGCGCCCTGTCTGCTTTATAGACTGTTTCACTCATACTAGACTTCTTGCTACCAGTGGCTCGGATAAATTGAAAGGGCTTCCGACAGTTGCCAGATACAGCTTCTACTTCCAACTCATTAGCACACTCCAACAAACTCAGTCTGTACATCCAATTTCATTACCTGAAGATCTACATTTGTTGTCTAACTCACGGTTTGCAGGAGTGGACCAAAGTGCTTGAATAAGTTGTAAGAAGCCTGTGGAAGCTCATTGCTTATAAACGGAACGCTTCGTGAAGCCACAAGCGACTTTACTCTCTATTTTCAAGGTGTCATGTAAACCCAGCCAGTGATCTATACATTTTAGTTAGTTGATAGCTAACCTTGAACCTAGATCAGTTTGATATTTAGTCGCAACAGAAGCTAAAGCCAATGTGCTTACATCGATCCGTTCATGATGATGAATTTGTTGTAAGATAAGATCGGAGTCCAAATAAGTACTTCAGAAGGAGCGACAGTCTTATTCCGTGGTAGCTGATCGTGATGTGATCAATCTGAGTTCAGGCTTGAGTTGGAGATAAAGGGCACATCGGCCGTGACTGTGCCAATAGTTAGTACTAGCCAGCACCAGGTTGTAGTGTGATCAAAGGTGCAGTAGATGGCCACTGTTATCTAACTTGCAAACAACAAGTCTTCATTGAGCATCCGAACGATTCTCCTCTGTGTCTAGACGCACGACCTGCTCGTTTAAATCTGCGGCTAGTACTACAATATCTGTCAAACACTTTCTGAAGATCACTAAATTGGTGGTTGGACTCATCATTGATTGCACCCAAGCTGCAATCTATCGGAGCGTTGACGGGAATAACGAAAAGACATCACACTGACTTCTTACTTTGATGGCACTTTAATCTAATGGCACATAATCGTCTTCTGATGTAGATCCAATCGATTAGTGCCTCCTCACCTCTGTTGCTTAGTGCGACCATCAACCTCAGCAAAACCAGACGAAGATGCCACAGGGTCCCCGAGTAAACTCACAAAACAAGCTTTTCATAGCAATAAATGGAGAGCAAAAATGTTATGGGTGTATCATTCGTACCTACTAACCTGGTTTAAGCACTGAACATTCGCTTTTCGTCCTTGTCACTTCACGAACAACACCCTCACCACGGATAGGGAGTGTATGGGAATTTTCTGGTAGTGTTTATATACATGTGGCTATATGTGTTATATCCGGACAAAGAATAAATGAATAGTCACTGCCATAAGTTATTAGGGACTATTATTATGTTGGACGGCGAATGCTGGTGGGAGGCCTATGCTTCTCCACTAGGGGTATTAGGCGTAAGTAAATAATTATATATATTCTTATCGGATAATTGTTGACCAACTATATACATACCTTTTATCATTGGCTTTTATTTGACCTGTCAGATTTTATTCTAACCTTCTACCCTCTATGTTAGCTTGCAAATGTGTCAAGTACGTATGAGTTATTCACGCAGTTTCTTCTCACCCATTCAGTCAAATGTTAATTAAAATCATGTGATTATAATTTCTCTTACAGACAGGCCAACTGAATTAGTAGGTTCTGTTACTGATAAAGTGTTTAACATTTGATTAATTTAGATGCTGTTCAATTTTTTTCCCACATTACCTTTAACATCCGTATTGCTGATTATTTATAGAGGTCACAGATCCTGTCGGTGATGTAAGAAATTTTATCCAGCACTTCAAAGAAACCTACGGATCTGTGAATACTAGTTTTGACGTTGATGGTAATTCAAATCCAACTGAAAGTTCTACTTCTGATTCATTTCCACCGTTCTTCGAGGGAACTTATGCTGATGCTGTTCAAGAAGCTAAACAAAGTTTACGATTTCTGATTGTTTATTTACATGGAGATTCACATGAAGATACTCATCGGTTTTGCAAGTAATATTTTACTTATATTCTATCTATACCAATTGTCTGAATTTATTTTATATAGAACCACTTATATTTATACATATGCACACTCCCATCATAGTAACAAGTTCAGTTGTTTCCGTGTCAGTTAGTATAATGATATTTTGATTAAGTTATATTTAACTAAGAGTTTAAGGACTTTTGTGTTGAATCATATGATGTAACATTGAATCTTTCGAAATTGGTTGCATTATATATTTCTTCCACCACTGAAAATATTGCATGCTAGAAAATTGAAAAAGGTCAATATAATAAGGTTAACTATTCGAGTTTGAGCAAGTGCTCTGTAGATTAATAATTTAGTTCTTTGATTTGCTTTTAAGGATTTCATAAATTAAATATTTAGTCATATAAGTTGGAGCGTGTTCGTGCATGTGATGTAGTGGTGAAGGAAAAATACTTTTCAATGTCACGATCAAAAAGAATTTTTTCACTCATTTGAAGGTGAATAAGTATAAATGAGGGAAGACAGGTGTCATATAAATGCGAATTAAAGATCCAATGTACATACTAGTCCTCATTGTATAGTTTATAATGAGGAAAGATGGCATTGTAATAAATCTCGTATTGAAATCTTTTTCTTACTTATTCCTACGTCCTTTATGTAATAATTTATCCGTTAAATTAATAATTAATCTGATGATACTGTCCTCTTTCAGAGATATTCTTCAGTCGGAAGATGTTTTACGGTTTCTTAGAAATTCCAATGAATTACTATTTTGGGGTTGTAATATTGAATCTCCTGAAGGTTATCGTGTATCACGAACTCTTCGAGAGCATACCTATCCGTTCATTGGAGTTATTGGCTTGACTAATATACCAAGTAAGTAGTAATATTTAATTCTGCACTAAGTTATTAACTGTTTTTGTCATTGACTAAGTCTTACAACTGTTGGCAAAACCTGAACACTACCGTTTTAAGATGTGGATTCGGTCCAGATGAGTCACATTAGAATTTACGGGAATTATATTTATATATTCTTTATGGAGAAAGGTTTTGGATTTGCAATGATCACGTTTTGATTGATTAATAGAATACTGTTTGGTAGTTAATGCACAGTAAACTAATGTGGTCGACTGGTAGATGTTCACGAGACTACATTATTGATAAAAGCTTTCGGCTGAACTGATATCAAAAGGCAACATAACTTCTAACATAATACATACTTTTACAATAAAGAAACCATTGCATAATAAATCTTAGCACCAAAACCATCATGATTAGACATCACTTAATACATAAATGACTGTAGAAAATGAGTGTTATTTGTCACTCACGTGCCAACGAATTAATCCGGACTTATTCAATACTAAACATTCATTACGTAATATCATGTTAGAGAATATGTTCTTAAAATTGTATGCTGAGAAAGTTGTCATAGATTTAACATTAACGTATTTTTGAAAAATAGTTCCATACTTAACTAATTTTTGTATACAATGTCTTGTGGACCTAGCCAGGCTCGGAAATACAAACTAAGTTTTGGTATCAACCAGTTTAAGTTTTTTAACTTTGTGAAAATGTTCTGTGACTATGAATTAAGGTCCATCATATTAGTATAGATACATTCAATCCTTTCAATATACCTGAAAAATAAATGAACCAAATATCTTTAAACCCAATAGTTTCCAAGTTTAGTAAGTTTTTGGCTGTTTATTACTTAGTTTACTAAGCTTATGTATACTCATCGGTTTCATCATATGAAAACCGATGCTTCTGAAATTTTATATGATTTAAAGGTTTTGTTCTTAAGTTCCATTTTTATTTTTGAATTACATGTTTCTTGTCTACTTTTCCGTTGATGTTGACATTATTTCTCCTCTCCTACTTCTCATCTTGTTAATCTCTTCTAAGTCACTATTTATGTGTAAAGTGCCCGACCGAAGCTGCTACCTTGACGCGGTGGTCGGGCTTGCCTATCGTGATGACCCAACCGAGCTATATTGGTTGGAACATATGTTCCTGTAGGTTCTGCCATGCCAGGCAGGTCGATTGGAGAACGGTAAGACTAAAAGCAGCAACTCAAGGTCTGAGGGCGAAGTCGTACTGCTGACTGTAGAGGGGTGTGACAGCAGTAAGGTGTTTCCCTCGGACAACCAGCATCTGCAGCGATGCTGCCTTCCCACAAGGAAGGAAGGGGTTAGAAAAGGTCGACCCTAAAAATGTCACACCTCACTTTACCTCACGGATTTCCGTCTCCGGCGGTAAGGCCCTTTGAAGAACGGGACTAACACATTAAAAACCTCCCACGAAAATACCGTGCGCGACCGGCCTCAAGCAGTTGTCCCTTGGGCTATGCAGTCACGCTCCCAGGTCGTTAAGGCCAACACTAATCCAATTTCCTTTTCAGGTTCCTCAAGAAATACCCTTCTACGGTGTGGGCATCCGGGAAGTGATATCATCCCTAATACCCGTAACAGCACACGAGACCAAGTTGGTCACACCCGAATCCTTCCCACACCTCCTAATACCTCTCTTATCTCCATGACTAACCCTCCTCACGTCTCTTTATCACCTCGCACCGCTAGGGCAAATGATTCGAGTACGCGGAACGGTATTCCTGGTCTCCTGAAACCACGCTCTAAACTCGACGTAGGAGCTTTTAACATCCGAACACTGTGCCAAATAGGACAGCAGGCTTCCTTAACTAAGACTTTAGAATCCCGCTCCATCTATGTGTGCTGCGTCTCCGAAACGCGCATACAGGATTCGAGTAGCGTCATTCATTTGATCTCACCGTGCCAAAAATAAAGAACCGACTCGATTCACACTTCGTGTATCTGGAAGCCCTGATTCTGCTTCCCGTGGCCTCGCCGGCGAAGGTATAGCATTGAGTCCTAGGTCAGAACTAGCTCTCTTAAACTGGATCCCAGTAGACAGTCAATTGTGCGCTGTCCGACTAAACGGAACAGTAAGAATCCGAAAAGATAGGGACACTCGTCGTTGCCTCTTCGTCGTCTCCGCCTATTCTCTCGGATATAGTAATAGTGGCCGGTGGCTTTAATGCTCAAGTAGGTAAACTAAACGATAGGGAAAGACACCTGGGTGGATCTTATAGCATCATGGCGACCGTCTGTTGCAGCTATGCTCAGATAACCGCCTGTTCCTTGCAAATACTAACTTTAAGCATAAGGAAAAACATCTTTTAACATGGCGGTTCCCTAATTCGTCCCAACGTTGGACCCAAATAGATCACATCGCTATCAGCCACCGATGGAGGGGCTCGATAGAAGACTGTCGCTCATTCTGGAGCACATGCTTAAATTCAGATCATGCTCTAGTACGAGCGCGTATCTGTCTGCGTCTTACTGGACGTAGGAAAGACGCTGCAAGGAAACCTCTTAGGGGCCTACTTAATGATAGTCAAGCTAAGAGTATATTTCAGGAACAACTAGGAAAACAGTTAGGCAGCCATGTATGTGATGCCCACCCCGATGCAGCATGGAATGATATCCGAAAAGCTGTGGAAACAGCAGTGATATCTGCTAGTAAGGTAAACCAGAATGTTAGGGAGCAACACTGGATCTCAGCAGCATCTATCGCACTGATAGACCCTCGGAAACTCATTCCACCTGGCTTTGAACATAATGAAGAGCGGAATCAGCTTAAGCGCAAACTAACAAGAAGTCCACGCAATGATCGTGAACAGCCGTGGGTAGCGAAAGCAAGAGAGATGGAAAAGGCAGCGGCAATAGGTAATAACAGACGATTGTACAGACTTGTTAAGGAAACCGGTATTAGGAAACCGACTGTTAGTGAAACACTCTCAGAGAAAGATAGACATATTATACATTCTCAATCCAGGAGATTGGATCGATGGGCGGAACACTTTAGGGATCAGTTCAACTGGCCTTCAGCCACACTTCGGTTTCCCACGATCTCCAGTCAACCAGAATGGCAAGTTAATATAGGTCCTCCGTCTCTTTACGAAGTTGAAAAAGCCATAAGAAATCTGAAGAGAGGGAGAGCAGCAGGCCCTGACAGGTTTACTCCTGAGATTTTTAAGGATGGTGGTCCAGTATTAGCAGTGAGATTAACTGAGGTCTTAGGTAGAATTTGGGAACTGGAAACAGTCCCATCTAACTGGTCTCAATCACTGATTGTGTCAGTTCATAAGGAAAGACTAAAGTCATCTTGTGACAATCACAGAGGAATCAGTTTGACAAATATAGTATCTAAAATATTAGCTTCAATAATACTTCGACGCCTAACCAAAGCTCATGAAGAACAGACTAGAGAAAATCAGGCTGGTTTTCGACCTGGACGTGGTTGTATAGACCAGATATTCACACTACGTCAGGTTCTAGAACACAGACACACGTTCAGACCTTAAGGCGGCATTCGACTCTGTTGATCGTGAGGTCCTATGGCAGTGTTTGTCACTGAAAGGGGTACCAAAGAAGTGCATTAACCTTGTGAAGGCTCTCTACTCGAACACAACTGGTAGAGTGAGAGCTTATGACGAACTGTCATCAGAATTGATTACCTCAAGTGGTGTTCGTCAGGGCTGTCCACTCTTTCCATTCTTGTTCAACTTTGTCGTCGACGTAATTTTAGAGATAACACTTTCCTCGTGTAGATTTCCAAGGGTTGAACTTCTACCGAGAGATTCACTTGTTGACTTGGAATATGCCGATGACATAGTTCTATTTGGTGAAAACGCTGACAAAATGCAGAGTCTTCTGACCACTCTAAGCAACAATGCAAGCATGTTCGGGATGCTATTCTCTCCCTCGAAATGCGAAATGTTGCTTCAGGATTGGGTTGCATTGACATCCGAACTAATGACAGGGAGTGAAGTAGTTGAGCGTGTCGACCGCTCCACTTATCTTGAAAGTCTCATCAGCCCTTGTGGTCTGGTGTGTGACGAAATCTCAGCACGGATACCGAAGGCTCGACTAGCTTTTACCAACCTGCGTCATTTATGGCGTAGGCGAGATATCCGTCTATCAACCAAAGAACGTGTTTACTGCTCAGCAGTTCGTTCCGTCCTACTTTATGGCAGTGAAACGTGGCCGGTAAGAGTAGAGGATATCCGTAGGTTACTAGTATTCGATCATAGGTGTCTTCGAAACATTGCTCGTATATCCTGGGACCATCGGGTAAGTAACGCAGTTGTTAGGAAACGGGTACTAGGTAAGGATGGCAAATCGATTGATTAAGTTGTGAAACTTCATCAGTTGAGATGGCTAGGACATGTGTTACATATACCCAACAACCGACTGCCCCGACGAGCGATGTTTTGTTGTATAGGGGTAGATTGGAAGAAAGCTAGGGGAGGCCAGACCAGAACATAGCACAAGTCCATGAAGTCACTGACAAGTGGACTGAGTCATGTTGGTAGGTGTAGACTACCTGGTTGGGGACCGCGAGATGATAGCAAACGATAGTTAGAGACCCTGAATGACATGGCTCAAAATCGTTTGCAATGGCGCAGGGGCATCCACTCTTTGTGTTCTCTCAAATTCTAATCTCGTGATTCCTCCGTGTCTCTTTTTTCTCTTCCCAAATTTATTTCACTGTATTATACTCTTTAAGTAACATCTCCAAACCCTAATCTTCCCGATTACTGCTTATACTCTTATTACCTCTACCACTACGGTATTTAAATCAACAACTGCATCTGTGTGGCAACTCGAACTGATGTACGTACGTACGAAGTTCTGCGTTGTTACTGACTGAGTGACTGACTGTATTAACTTAGCTCAGTACATATTTGCCCCTGGTCCTACACTACCTATGACTGGAATAAATACAAAACTATATATATGTTTTCTGTTGTTTTTTTCAAAAGTACAATGCGGTACCAAATAGGTTCACCTCAATAAATACTGTGTTTAGAGTAATTCTCATTCTTTTTCTCATCACTGTTTAATATATATGTATTACTAAACTATATAATGCTTCAGATGTAATTTAAGATTAAATCCGTTTATCATTTGTCAACCCTATTCCTTTGAATGTTGGACTTAGATTTCCGACTTAAGCTTTATGCAGATATAATTTGACGATAGACGCGTGGGTGGATTAAATTTCATACTGTTTGACAACAGAATCTTCTCTTATTATTATTTTTTCATTAGTTTCGGAAAGTGGGGTCTATTCCGGAAGTAGTACACGAATGGCGTTACTAGGGCGTATAGAAGGTGTACTAGAACCATCAGAACTTGTTGATCAGTTGAATAGTATACTGAATGAACATCAAACAGCTATAATAACAGCTCGATTAGACCGGTAAGTTTTCTTTATAAAAAAGGAATTTTTTATTTTATTTGAAAACATAGGTATTGGTACCACGATGCACCAAATACATATGAGCCACAAAAATCTCATTTGGTTTGTGCGATGGCTGTGATACTGCCCGGATGTTCAAAACCGAAGCAGATGGTTTTTTTAGGGGGCCAAACCTGGAGCCTTCGACCTACAGTTCTGATCCACAAGACAATCGAGCAACGTCGGGAGATGCAGTCCCATGGTAGCTAGTGACCAGCGATTGGTTCATACGCCATTTGTTCCCCCAGATCACTGGATCCCATGTGCATTATTGCTTCAGGACTGGTCTGCGTCAACACCTGAACTAAGGATAGGGAGTGAAGTAGTCGAACGCGTTGACAACTTCACTTATCTTGGAAGTCTGATCAGCCCTAATGAGTTGGTATCTGACGAGATCTCAGCACGGATTGGAAAAGCTCGTTTGGCTTTTGCCAACTTGTCTCACCTATGGCGAAGGCGAGATATCCGTCTATCAATAAAAAGACGAGTATACTGCGCGGCAGTCCGTTCTGTTTTACTTTACGGCAGCGAAACATGGCCTTTAAGAGTAGAAGACACTCGTAAGCTACTAGTATTTGACCACAGATGCCTTTGAAATATTGCTGGCGTCTGCTGGGATCACCGAGTAAGTAATAGTGAGGTTCGACGCAGGGTATTAGGGAATGATGGTAAATCAGTTGGTGAGGTCGTAAATCTTTATCGACCGAGATGGTTGGGTTATGTGTTACGTATGCGTGAACACCGATTACCACGACGTGCAATACTAACCGGTGTTGGGGATGGTTGGAAGAAAGTTAGGGGCTGCCAAACCAAAACGTTGCATCAATGCTTGAAGTCACTAACTTCTAGTCTGAGCCATGTTGGTAGATGCAGACTACTTGGTTGCTGTCCACGTGACTATCGTAACCAATGTTTGGAGACTGTGTGACATGACTCAGAATCGATCACAATGGCGTAGGAGTATACACTCTTTGTCCTCCTTTTAACTGTGAGATTAAAATCGCTTCATATCTTTCTTTCTACGTACTAAATCTTTCTTCCTGTACTATGTCCCTATATGGAATATTTCTTTTATATATTACCACCTCTGAATTAACTACTTTTATGAATCTGGTGTTCATCTTGTTGTGTTAATGAGGTATGGCAACTTGGACCGATGCACATGTGTGCCTGGTCCTACGTTGTAGCTGACTGAATGACTGAAAACACTCAACTTTCAAGTAATAGATCACAGATTCAAACACTAATTCAGTATGTACAACTAAGTAGTGCCACCATTCATCACACAACACTGTATTATTCATAATCGACTACGTATGTCTGCATACGGTTAATGAGTTACTTCTGTGAATATAGGTCAAAGAACTCAAAATATCTTTTTTTTCATGAAATTATATTTCACCAGTGTTCAAATTTGACCCACCTCGTGCAAAAATTAATTGAATCATAAACAAAGTGATTTAAAGTTGATTTTGGTTATGGATATATATCAAGTGGAGTTATTGTAAACCAGAGCGCACTATAAAGTTTTTTCGTTCTGTTAGCCGTAGTGTCATGGATGCATTCATTATGAATAAGTCATAAACTGAAATTCTGGTTTATTATGTAAACGATAGTGACCAGTCACTACTTCTCACTAGTGGAGTTCAACCAGGTCTGTTGTGAGATAGCAACTCACTGAAGACAATGGTGAATGTGTCGCTCAATTTCGTGGATTAGTTGAAGTTAGACATTAACACCGTTGGATGCCGGTTCAGTGGTCTAGTTGTTAAGTGCTCGCGCGCGAAACCAGTAGTTCCTGGGCTCGAATCTCGCAGGAGGCGAGGTCGTGGATGCGCACTGCTGAGGAGTCGCACAATAGGACGAAACAGCCGTCCAGTGCTTCCAGGTTTTCCATGGTGGTCTAGCTTCAACTGACTCATGATCTTAACCATTGAAATTACTATAATTTATTATTGTACTATTTACGGTTCTTAAGCTATGTTCAGTTTATTAACTACTGCCTCCCACGTTCATAGCCACTTTTTGGCTTTACTGTGTACAAATGTTATTTCCTATTTTATGGTGCGTTGTGGTCTGTTTGATTGATATATAAACACAGTATGTCTGAAATAAATGATTCATTTCGATTCATATAGTGGAAGCTGGTATTGGTGTTCTGGACTCAAGTGGACGGGCTAGGCGGACATAGGACCAATAAAAAGCCGGACATAAATTCACAACATTAGTACTCTAAGAGCGTGACCACAGTAGCCAAGGGACAACTGCTTGAGGCCGGTCACACACGACCTTTTTGTGAGTAATTTTTGTGTTCGCTCTGCAATTGTTGAGACCTTACCGTGTGAGATGAATATCCGTAGGATAAGGCGAGGTGTGCATTTTTAGGGTCGATCTATTCTAGCCCCCATCCTTCCTTGTGGGAAGGCAGCATCGCTGTTATGCTGGTTGTCTGGGGAAACACCTTGCTGCCGTCACACCTCTGTACAGTCAGCAGTACGACTTCGCCTTCGGACCTTGGGGATACAGCTTCTAGTCTTACCGTTCTTCAACTGACCTGTCTGGCATGGTAGGGCCCTGAGAAATGATTGTTCCAGCCAGTATAGCTCGACTGTTTCGTCACGATAGGCAAGCCCGACCACCACGTTAAGGTAGCAACAGCAGTCTGGGAGTTAGGTGAGATTCAGGGTATTGGGGAATGATGGTAAATCAGTTGATGAGGTTGTGAATCTTTAACGGCTGAGTTGGCTGGGCTACGCACTACGCATGCTCAACCATGGAGCGTAATGCTGATTAGCGTTAGAGACCAATGGAAGAATGTTAGGGGCGACCAAACCAAAACGTGGCATCGGTCCATAAAGTTACTAACTTCTGGTCTAAGCCGTGTTGTTAGATGGAGATGTTGGGGATGCTAGATCCCCAGAACTCACTTGGTAAATGTCTTATTTTTGAAATCTGAATTTCTTGTTTTCGCGTCAAAAACGCCCATTTTTCCCCTTCGTATCGTATTTCCCGCTGAGAGAACCTTAAATATTATTGGTTCGTTATCTCTTTTAATATGCTATTTGTTGTGGATGCAGAATAATGTGCCAATCATTATTATGTTAAGTCTAGTGATGTCCTTGGACGTTAAATGGACATTTTCTATTGGCCATTATTTATTTCATCCGTTAGATATTGTACAAATGTTGTTTTCTATTTTTATGGTACGATGTGGTATGTTTGGTTAGTATATAAATAGAGTATGTCTGAAATACAGTGATTCAATGGTGCACATGGGCTCCAGTATCCTGCGGGAACAAATGGCGTATGAACCAATCGTTGGTCACCGGCTACCATGGGACTGCATCTCCTTACGATGCTCCACTGCCTTGTGGGTTAGACCTTTAGGTCAAAGGCTCGGGGAGTGGCCCCCTAAGATAGCCACCTGCTTCGGTTTGGGCACCCGGGCAGTATCACAGCCCACACACAAATTGATGAACTCTTTATGCCTATGGAAATTACCTTTCTCGCTTTGAAAAACAAACAATTGATTCAGATTATTATCATTACAATTATTGTCATTGTTAATACTATTATTATTATTACTACTATTATTGTCATTATTATTATTATTATTATTATTATTATTATTATATTATTATTATTATTATTATTATTATTTTCCACATTATTCACCCTCTTTTATACTTATACAGCGGCTCGTCTTTGGTGGAAATTCGACTGTATCTAAACGTTCTCGAGTCACTGTCCGGTTGAAAATTGTATGTTACCACCGAATACGAGGACTGAAGCAGTTTTTCTGAAACCACGTGCACTATTCAAACTGGCTGCCTTCAACGTTCGCACATTTATGCAGGTCGGACAACAGAGAGGGCTGGCTATGTCTTTGGAAAGTCTTAATATTGATGTTTGTTGTCTATCCGAGACCCGTATTGAAGACTCTGGCGAAGTACTACAAATTCGATCTCCATCTGTCGCTTCGAAAAGCTTGTTTTACGTGCGCTTATCCGGGGACCCTGTGGCATCTTCGTCTGGTCTTGCTGGCGTTGGTGTCGCACTAAGCGCTAGAGCTGAGGCAGCACTAGTCGATTGGATCCCCATTAACAGTCGGTTATGTGCTGTTAGATTAGAAAGTTCCATCAAAGTGAGAAGAAATTGGCGTGAGAAACGATGTCTTTTCATCATCTCCGCCTATGCCCCGACAGATTGCAGCCCGGATGCAATCAAGGATGAGTTTTACCACCAGTTATCAGTTCTTCTCCAGAAAGTGCGTTCGACAGATATTGTAGTACTAGCCGGAGACTTGAATGCTCAGGTCGGGCGTCTAGGCACAGAAGAGAGTCGTTTAGGTGGCCGATGGGGACTCGTTTGTCGCAGGTCAGATAACGGGGACCGTCTACTGCAACTTTGCACAGACCACAACCTGTTTCTAGCTAGCACTAACTTTCGGCACAGTCATCGCCGATGTGCCACCTGGCGTCCTCCCTCTGCATCTCAAGCCTGGACTCAGATTGATCACATCGCGATCAGCTACCGCTGGCGTGGTTGTGTACAAGACTGCCGCTCCTTTTGGAGTACCTATCTGGACTCTGACCATGCCTTGGTCTGCGCCAATCTTGCCTTACTTTTCAGTGGCCAACGAAGTGACCACCACCAAAAGATTGATGTTAGCAAGCTGGTTGCAACTTCTGTTGCAAGTAAGTATCGAACCGAGCTAGCCTCTAGGCTAGCTACCACTCCACCGAAAAGTATAGATAAGCATTGGTTGCAATTGCATGACGCCATGAAAATGGCGGGAACAGTCAGTTGTGGGTTTGCGAAACGTCCCGCTTTTAAGCACTGGGTTTCTCCAGGTTCCTTACAACTCATTGAAGCCCGTCGGTCTACTCCGGGTGACCGTGAGTTTGACCATAAACGAAGGATGTTACGTAAGGAAATCGGGCAAAGCTTGCGTAAGGACCGAGAAGCCTGGTGGTCGATGCGTGCTAATGAGCTGGAAGCAGCAGCTGGATCTGGTAACTACCGGAAGCTCTTCCAGCTCATCCGAGCCACTGGCAGCAAGAAGTCTGGTGTGAGCGGAACAATCTACAAGAATGACGGGATGCCAATCACTAACATCCATCGACGTCTTGGACGATGGGCAGAATTTTTCGAAGGGCAGTTCAACTGGCCTGCTGCTCCGGCAACATCGGTCAGACTGTCCTGCCCTCCATGGCCGGTGACGACTGATCCACCAAATGAGGAGGAAGTCCGCAAGGAACTCCAACTCTTGAAGCGTTACAAATCACCTGGCCCAGATGACTTACCTCCGGCTCTTTTTAAAGATGGTGGTGACTTTTTGACTAAGGAATTGACGACGTTGTTTACAAAGGTTTGGGAACTAGAGAGTGTACCAACGTCATGGAATGAGTCGATAGTTGTCCCTATCTTTAAAAAGGGTTCACGTCGTTCCTGTAACAACTATCGGGGGATAAGTCTACTTCCGATTGCGTCCAAGCTATTGGCTTCCGTCATACTTCGTAGGTTGTTCAAAACCCGAGAAAGATTGACTCGCGAGGAGCAGGCTGGGTTTCGTTCCGGTAGAGGATGTATTGATCATATCTTCACCCTCCGCCAAATGTTAGAACACCGCCATACTTTTCAAAGGCCAACAATCGTTGTGTTTCTTGACATCAGGGCTGCCTTCGATTCACTGCATAGGACTGTTCTCTGGGATTGTCTATTGAAGAAGGGTGTGCTCGAGAAGTCTACTAATATACTAAAGACCCTATATACAAACACCTCAGGCAGAATGAAGGCATACAACCACCTCTCTCCATTGTTCCATTCGAACAGTGGGGTTAGACAGGGTTGCCCAATCTCACCATTCCTCCTCAACTTTGCCATCGATGACATTCTGGAAACAGCTCTGATGAATGTAAGCAATGGTGGTGTGGATCTGTTGCCTGGAGAAAGACTTCTCGACCTTGAGTATGCGGACGATATTGTCTTACTGTGCGATAATACCCAAGGCATGCAATCCGCACTTAATCAGTTGGCAATCAGTGTCCGTAGGTATGGTATGTGCTTTGCACCTTCGAAGTGCAAAGTACTTCTACAAGACTGGCAGGATTCTAATCCTGTACTCACCCTGGATGGTGAGCTGATAGAAGTGGTCGAGAAGTTCGTGTATCTGGGTAGCTGCATAAGTGCTGGTGGGGGTGTGAGTGATGAGAACAATGCACGAATAGTGAAAGCCAGAGCGGCTTGTGCCAATCTGGGCCACCTTTGGCGCCTTCGTGATGTTAGTCTGGCTGTAAAAGGTCGGATCTACAACGCGTCGGTGAGAGCAGTTTTGCTGTATGCTTGTGAAACCTAGTCTCTCCGAGTTGAGGACGTTAGACGACTCTCTGTGTTCGATCATCGCTGTCTCCGAAGGATTGCTGACATTCAGTGGCAACACCATGTTAGTAATGCAGAGGTTCGGCATCGTGTGTTCGGGCACAGAAATGATAATTCAATTGGTGTCACCATCTTGAAACACCGACTTCGGTGGCTTGGACATGTTCTCCGAATGTCGTCCCAGAGAATTCCACGTCGTGCATTATTTGCCGACTCTGGGACTGGTTGGAAGAAGCGGAGAGGTGGTCAGTGCATGACATGGTGTCGTGGTATGAAAGAAAGCTGCAAAGGACTGGCTTCTGTTGGTCCTTCACGACTCCCTGGTTGGGGTCCGAGAGATGGTGCTACACAGTGGCTAGAGACGTTATCAGATATGGCTCAGAATAGAAGCCAGTGGCGATCCTGCTGTAACCTTCTTTTACTTTCTTCATAAAAAGTGGTTGTGTCTCCCTTACCTGAAAGATTTCTTCTGATTGTACCTTTTCGTTCCGTCGTTACTACCACAGTACCTTACTCCAATCTCTTCGTCATTGTTCTCTTTTTCTTTTGCGCTCCTTAGTTTTTTTTTTCTACTTCTCTTCGAATTCTCATTGTTCTGTGTGGCGCATATATATTGGCGCTCTCTTGTACCAATATTCATGTGTTCAAATAAATATATTGGCGCTCTCTTGATTCATATCTCCGAGGCTGTGACTTGTGTTCTGGACTCAACTGACTGGGCTAGATAGGGAAGCGGGACCAATCGAGACTCTAGGCCGTCCGTACGTGTTTACGTGTCATTGAATCGATGGATAAATACGCTGCTCTCTAATTTTTCCAGTCAAGGACACAACAATTAGCACAGGGTAAAAATCGACCACAACTTAAATTCAATACACTATTTTGTAACGTTTCCCAAGGAGATTTTAATTTTATATATATACGCTTGAGTTGTGCTTGTTGTTGTTCGTGCTTCTGGCTGCTCTTGGAATACATTTCCCCTCTTTTGAACCTAGACTTCTCTCTCTTTAGCAGGGTTGGGACGCATCCGAATAGTGAGCTTATTTAGTCATTGTGTCTCTGAGTTTTCATTCCGCTCGCAGATTTAGGTGAACTCGTAATTTCTTCGAACAACGGGGTCCGCGTGACTATCGTAACTCTTGTTTGGAAACTCTGGATTACGTGGCTCAGAATCGATCATAATGGCATAGGTGCATACACTTTTTGTCTTCCCTTAAACCATGAGATTACAATTACTGTATACCTTTTTTTCTACGATCTAATTCTTTCTCCTTGTATCACGCCGTATATGCAATCATTATTTACATATATTACTACCATTGAAGTAGCTGCTTCTATGAATTCGGTGTTCATCTTGTTGTGTTAATGAGTTATGGCAACTTGGACCGATGCATATGTGTGTTTGGTAACACATTGTAGCTGACTGAGTTGTAATCTATACTTGATAATATCTATATATATGCATGCAATTGTAACTTTGTTGTGGTGCTTTTTTTTACTTTCATATGGAATTCGTGTTACTTGAGTTTTCAGTTAGCATAAACGAAGTGAATTTTGAAGAATAAACTATTTATCTGAATGATAGTTAATAAATGTGTTATTATAGTGATCTAGTACCCTTTTATTATCTATGGACGTATCAATATTCTTTTTATTCGGTAGTTGGAAAGTTTGTCGTAATAGACGCTATCATTGTGTACATAAAAAGTCACTATTCAGTTTTAAATTCATCGAATCTACCATCGCTTTATGTTATATGTATTGAGCTAGTCGGTTATATTTATAACCGATTCTTATGATATATATAACTTACAGTGTAATCTATGAATCTACACTCCATTATTTTGCATGTTACCGAAAAATAACTTGCTTATGCTAACCAATATTCGGATGTTTGTGTCGTCTACAATATCTAATACCAAATTTACTGATTTTCATCCATTCACAATCTAACACCGAGTAAGTATGAAGTAAAAGAACGTTTGACAACGCAAATGTTCTCATGTGACTCAATTTTAATAACTGAATTGGACATAAACTTGTTGCTTAATCAATTCTTGAGTTATTGTAACCGACTGAAGGGTTTCCTTCAGTAACGTATCAAATATTCCGCTGTCTTGGATGGGTTCATTCCTCTAAAACCCCTTACCATACATCTTTTACTAGCATCATTACATTGTTTGTAATTCTCAGTATTTACTGTTGTTTTTAATGATCTCTTTTCATACTAATTTCACGAACGTAACCCGTCTGTTTGTGTTGCGTGAATTCAGGAAGATACAAAACCATGAAATTCATAATTCTCGAACAATAAATTTTAATCATTGTATGGTTATCTAGAAGGCCCATTGGCTTTCGTCAACTTGTATCACTTGTGGCGTAGATGGGATATCCGTCTCCCAACCAGGTGATGATTTTACTGCGTGGCAGTTCCCTCCATCCAACTTTGTGGATGTGAAACATGGCCCTTAAGAATAGAGGATATTCCTATGTTATCAGTCTTCAAAACATTGACCGTGTGTTTGGGATCATCGAGCAACCATTATCTTGGTTAGGAATAGGGTACTACGTAAGAATCGATTGATGAGGTAGTAAATCATCAACTTAGTTGGTTAAGACATGTGTTACGTATGCTGAACTAATACTTATCGTTCTCTTGTTTTTATGCTTTCAAGCTAAGCTTATATAAATCGAAATGGTATGAATATCCGTTCTAAAAAAGATAGCTTTTCATGATACATCTAACAATTATTCTGATGCATACAACTTATATGTTAAAAGTATAAACTGCACAGGTGAATAAAGACCATTACAGTACTGGTCACGAAGTTCAAACCATATCTTGTCAATTTCTTTATTTTTGATATAGCTAAGAAATTAATCGTTAGGTTTTCTTAATTTTGTCATACTTCCTATTAGTTTCATTATATTACGCTCCACTCCCTCTTTTAACAGGAGTGAACGAGAAATGAACGCTCAATTGAGGCGTGAGCAAGACTTAGCTTATGAGGCATCACTTGCTGAGGATCGAGCTAAAGTGGCTGCTCGAGAGGCACAGCAACGAAGTGCTGCCTTAGTAGCGGAACAGCTAGCCAAGGATGCAAAACGAAAGGAGGATCTAAAAAAAGCTCACATTAATCGCAAGCGTATATGGCAAAGTAGGTTACCACCACCACCTAAGTTTGAAGAGGGGTCTACAGTACAGCTATCATTCAAAATGCCACGTGGTTCCAGAGTTTCTCGCGTCTTCAACTTGAACGATTCTATCAAGGTAATTTTCAGTGATTTTTTTTTTACAAAATATTTCATTTTGGATCATACCGTATCAAGTTATTCATCTGTACACTCCATAACATTAATCTTTCTTTTCCAGCTGCTCTACTATTTTGTATTATCTCAGGATGATTCACCAACAGAATTCGAGGTGCAATCCAATTTTCCTAAACGTATTATACCATGTCAACCATTCGAAGAATCTGATGTGGAAGATTACATAGATACTCCTGACAATAAGATGGATTGTGATGAACCTGAAGTGATTACAGACTGGTCCCGTAAATGTCAGAATGATCCACCATCATTTTTTAATATTGGTTTGACAAGGCCAGAAATGTTGTTTGTTCTCAACAAAGATGCATGATATGAAGTTTTGAGCTTCCTACCCTTCCAACACCAATGTAGCTATTTCTTTATGGATAAAGCTGTTCCATTGTTAAATAAGTTCATGTATTATGTTTTTGATGTAGTATTATGTCCTCCAAGTACGTACAATAATAATAGTAATATTATTATTATAAATGACTTGAGCAGTCAGGATTTCATTTCCTTATACAGTTATTCAAATGTATTTTTCTCCGATTATTTTATTCATACACTTATCATTTTGTTACTCTGGTCTCACATACAACATGACATATTTTGCTTGTAATAAGTCCCATTAGCATATAACATTCCTTATGCACAGTTGTGGTTTCTCATGAAGACAGACTCCCAACCGTTGACCTGTTGTAACATGTTTATCCGCTTCAATATTTTTGTGAGCTGTTTCGAGGTAATATTGAAGTTCACTTTTAGACACCATGTGATTACTTGTATGAAAAGTCTTTCCCCATGTATTTTTTTCAAATATGCACACGAATTTCGTGCAAATTAGTTCAACTGACAGTTTTTATTACTATAATGATGATAATCACTTGTATTTTATTTGTGTACAGTACAAGCATTGAATTGCTTTTATTTCTTATCCATTGACTTTTTGTAAAGTAAATTTCTACCTTTCGGTTTCAATTCATTCTATGTAAATGAGTACTAGATGGTAACTTGTCATTTAATCGTCAGTCGTTTCCTTTCATGCAGTCTTTATACGCAGTTTTCCAATCACTACCATGCTAGGATTTCAAAACGTGTTAATTAAGACATCGTAGATAACATGTATAGTCACTTTATATTGGTGAAATGAAATTCAACTTGTCTGTTTAGAACTGTTTTTTATAGTCATGCATTCTAAGTTATTTTGCCAATATAACCTTGTTACGCGAAAATTAATAATGTTAAACAGCAACCGAACCAGCCACCCATTTGCTTAATGTTTAGTGCTTGAATCACTGACATCTGTTGAAGATCATCACTTATTCCTATGAGATCTAAGAATTGTTTCTTGTTTATTTAGCCACATTTAATTACGAGTCATATCTATAAGAAATGCGATGTAAATCAAAGTATCTTTCTTACTATCTGTTTAGGATGGTTAATTAACATTCCATTCCTAATATTAAACCCCATTTATTTGTAATAAAAAAGATAAGTATCATGGAAAGACACTTGTAAGTATAGCTGTAAGAGAAATCTAGATCATGAACATAACATGCACGACCTGCAGAAAAATTCACAGTAATTAACCATATCTTCGGAAACTCGTCAAATTAACGACGGATTGAGATTTTGACAGCCAACTTCAGTAATGTAAGACGTGGGATAGAAGGTCGGTCGGCAACAACATAGAACTTCGTACGTACATACATCAGTTCGAGTTGCCATATCACATTAGCACAGAGATACAATTGTCGATTAAAATCCCATAGTGGTAGAGGTAGTAAAAGTATAAGCAGTAATCGGTAAGATTAGGACTTGAAAATGCTATTCAGCAAGTATGATAAAATAAAATAAATCTGGAAAGAGGAAAAAAGGGACACGAGGGATTCAGAAGAATTTGGGAGAACACAAAGAGTGGATGCCCCTGCGCCATTGCAAATGATTTTGAGCAGTCATTCAGGGTCTTTAACCATCGGTTGCTCCAAATAGTTTACACCTACCAACATGACTCAGTCCACTTGTCCACGACTTCGAGAATTTATGCCATGTTTTGGTTTGGCCCCCCCTAACTTTCTTCCAACCTACTCCTACACCATAAAACATCGCACGCCGAGGCAGTCGGTGGTTGGGCATATGTAACACATGTCCCAGTCCTCTCAGCTGATGAAGTCTCACTACTTCATCAATTGATTTGCCATCCTTACCTAGTACCCGTTTCCTAACAATTGCATTACTTACTCGGTGGTTCCAGGATATACGAGCAATGCTTCCAAGACTCCTATGATCGAATACTAGGAGTTGGACGACTTATATCAACTTGTCATTCAGGTCGACTGAAGTGTGGCTGGAGGCGAGTGCAACTGATCCCTAAAGTGGGATAGAAGAGGCAGTTGACGGGTAATGTTGAGAGTCGTGTCTTGTTGCTGACAACATGGAGTGATGTGAAATGGTCAACGATACTTATGCATCTAATCCGTTGTTGTTACACGTGCTGAAAGTATTATGTTGTATCCTGAAAGGAATAATGAATGGTCCCAATGCAAATGCATACAAAACGTATGAAAAGTAAACATTTTTCTTTAAGTTACTCTTCCAGTTTCGATGTGATGATCCACGGTTCTGTTTATACCACACGTTAGCGGAGTGTTAAATAAGCTAAAAAAAAAACAAAGTTGAGTTTATCCTAGTGCAAAAAATGACTGAGTTCCACTAGTTGTAGCCAAATAAGTATCATTTCTTAGGTGTAAACATAAGTCGTTCCTAGTGTGGAGTTAGCTTGCCTCTGCCGGCTTACAGCTAGCTTTTCTGTGATGTTTTAGCTAAGTGCTAACGACGCTTAGACTAGTAAACTATACCGCATAAGTGTTCGTAAGGGAAGCTGCAGCGATTGACATTTTAATCTTAATTAATCCATACCAAGAGATTTTATTTTCCGTAGGAATGTAGTTGGTGGGCACTTTGTTGTTATCGTTAGTCCCCTTCGGTAGCTAAAACTTCCGGAAACCTTTCATGTAGTTTTCAGCGTTGGCCTCGTTGCCACTGTTCAGTGAGATGTTTGATCATACAAATTGTTGGATTTTTCTCATATCTCCGACTGTCAGTTTGAGGATAACTAAGAATTTCATATACCCTTCCTTATCATCATTATAGAGCTTGGCACAAATGTGTGTTGCCTCAGGATGCCACGCCACAGTAGCACGAGATGAAAAGCGAGAAATCGAAGTAATGTCGTAGTAATTTTAATGAGACTAAAAACTGGATCGTTCAAAAAAGCAATGGGAATATATGTATGGAGTGTTAGGATTGAAGATCAACAGAAAAATGGAGGGCACTATTTTGAGTGATCATCAGCTGTCTCTCCAAGTCTTCGAACACTGATCGCGTATATTACATAGACCCCAACCCGGTAGTCTGGAATTACCAACATGGCTTAGATCGACGATCAAGGACTTGTTTCCGTCTTTCTTAGCTTTTCAACCTCCTGCTACACTGGAAAGCATGGCTCGTCGAGGTAGGGGGTAGTTAGACACCCATAGATTATATCCCAACCATCTCAGTCGGTGAAAATTTACAGATGAATCAACAGGTTTACCGCCTTAGTCTCAACATTGCTCATTTGTTCGTTTCGCGATATGCGAGTAACAAGTCGAAGATATTTACAATAAATAACCTGCAGCCTGCATTGATTAATCTCAGAAAAGCAATCAAGTTGAAGAAACAGAACTCCATAAATTGTATTTTTTATTAGAAAAAAAACTAACAAAATGCAATCTTTAAATTCAATAATAGGATTTTTCTGGCAACTTTTAACAAAGCAATAGTTATTAGTATTAAGGTGATCGGGAATGTATCAAAAATACAGCTAATATAAACATTTTGAAGCTGTGGTTTTTTGAAAAGTTATCGTCGCAGATTTCTTATGTCATCATCTAATTCACCAATTGAACTTTTTAAATATTCCCATTGTTCCAAATTAAGGGAAATTCCTGTGAACAAAATTTAAGGGTACATGATAAATAAGTAACCACACAATTTATCAAGAACAATTCTACGTACCCGACAATGAGAATGTTTTTTAAAGATTAACATCCGGTTACCTGATCTAAATTTGTTATAACAGGCAAGATATGAGTCAACTTAAGGTCCATGAGTTATATGTTTGAACCTCATCTCAACTACAACAGTTTATGTACCCTTATTTCATCATTAGCTATCAGACAAGGGGTGGCTTAACGAAGGATATATAGACCAACACTGAATAAATGATTTGTGCTGGTGAGACTTTGGACCATATTAGTCATAATTGATGTACGACCTGAAATAAGTATCCTTAGACCTCAACTGCCATATCATATCGTTTTCCACCATTAATTGCGACTTAATCCATGGACTGTAAGCAGGAAGTCAGCACTTTTCTACGGGACTCAGACCACCAGCTTTGCTGTGCCAACTTGAACTGACGCAAATGTATCAGGCTGCAAGTTTCATATAACTGACTGAGATCACTAATTAGTGATTTTTTATACTGCATTAAGTTAAGCAATTACATATTGCAATAGCCTTATACGTAACAAAATCTGATATTTATAAAAAGCAAAGTGCATGTATCGATATGCTGAATTTACTGTTTAGTTTAATTTTTTACATGCGTTTAGCCGCACATACATTGTATTTCTATAATTGGTAGGATGAGTTCACTTACCTTTCTTTCCAGGTTTTAATTCTCCACTGGATTTGTCTTCATAGTACTCCCTAATATCGACAAACGCTTTTCCTCTGAACTCTCTTACGCACGCGAACTTTTTCCCAGTTAAGTCTATTAGCTGGTCTCCACCTGAAGTAGTCACGTGTGATGACTTTGTGGAGCCACTTGACTTGTTAGGTTTTTTAGTTACAACAGGCTAAAAGTACAATAAATAATGTATAAAAATACCTCCTCGAGATCTGAAAGGGAAGAATCAGATGACTCATCTTTTGTGTTGGATTTGCGTTTGTTAGACATGACAGGTGATCCCTTTAAGGATTGGGTAAGATGCACCTACTGAGAGATGGCAGGGGTGCAGTGATTGAAGCACTGAGTTGAAGAACTTGAAAAAAATCCGGTTATCTGTAAATATAAATCACAAGAAACATTTGAAATAATGAAAAACACTGAAGTTTGGCTACTTACTTGAGATCTATTTATCACTAGTTTGAATTCGAATATACTTATAGATTCAGCCAACCAGATATTACGTTACCTTCTGTCTAGAAATGGTGGTTCAGATTTTTTTTATTATTTTAATCGACAATGGTTTTTTAGTTGGGTTAATCCGTAGAAATGTGAGCACTCTTCACGATTATACTTTTGGTTGCAAGAAAGAATCTAAACAAGTAGTTTTTATGAATGTCTTTATAAAACATCGCTTCACCGGTAATCCTACATATTGCTGATAGATAGTGGGTCAGGTACTCTCATCAGCTAAACTACATTTCAATTAGTCAAACATTTGTGTTCATGTCTTCGGCCAGTATGTATGACTGAGATGTTTATGCAACATCTAGTTAAGTTGTATCGGATTTTCTCCTTCTTCTTCATGAGTCATTTTACTACAGAATACACAAAGTCATCTGAACGGTGTGTTATTATTGACTCGTTCGATCAAGACAAATGATGGTAGTTATATCAATAACCAATTTGGAGAAAAATTACAGAAATCTGGGGTATTAAATTCTTGAGGAATAAGTTTGGTAAACCTTGAAATTAAATGGGATGAATCCCGTCTAAATGATAGTAAGAACCAAAACACAAGTTTTGTGCATAACGGACTGCCTGTTTTATCTATCTATTAAAGCCTTCTTTACAATAGAAGCGCACACACCACACTTGGTAATTTTGACACGAAAGTTTCCAGATGAGACTTGTGAACCAGAAATATCAATTTTCCAGGTTACTCTTAGGCTACTCATTACCATGTACCGTTAATCGAAACTTCTCATTAATGCACCTAATGAAACATTTGCAGACGTGAAACAACCCAATATTTGCTGACAATACTTTGCCTCTTCTAAATTAAATGCACTCAATAAATAATAACTTCGTACTAAACCAGGGGTTATATCAATCGAGCATTTTTAAATCTACATTAAGTTACATCTGTAACTTAATGATAGATACTGATAAAAGCGAGCTGAGTCTGCTTGTTGTCATTATCACATACCATCTTACAACCGCTAAAATTAAGC